TTCAAACATATTTTTTCATAACTTTTATTAGGAAAAAAATTGAATGAAATTTTTCTTCAATGTATCAATGTGTTTTTTTCATGTTTCTGATCTTGTACTCCTTGTATAATTTGAATAAAATATTTTATAAAATTTTACAATAGCATTTCTCACTCATAGTGTTTGCTTTTCTTATTTCCTATGCAAACTCTCTTGATTACCAGATAAAAAGTTTTTCATTTCTTCATTGATTCTCTTCAAAAATATTGATAGGTTTTTCATTGTTCATAATTTTAATTTTTCAATTAAATATGAATATTAAACTTCATGATTTAGCACAAACAGAACTAACTCCATACTTAAATAGTTTGTTAATGAAAAAATAAAACAAATTTAGTTGGTACAATATTTCCATAAGCATTTTTTCTTAAATAAAAAATCTACAATATCCTTATGAAATATCTTTCCAATCATCCAAATGATGATTTCCATCTTCAGGTAGAACTTGAGTCAAAATCATCTTCTTTTATTTTGTATTAAAATTGCAAATCTTCCATAAGCAAATCGAGAATTACTTTTCCACCGTTGCATTTGTATCCCATCGATGGTTTGACTACTTCACAATTTTCAGGCTAGATTGCTCTTTGATAATCATGTGGGGAATACAATCTCAAATGAAGTTTTAAATCTTTCAAAAAAAAATTGTTTGCTTCAATCCTTGTTGCGTAGATGCAATTTACAATTCTAGGAGATCAATGCACTACATTGTTGATTCAAATTTACTTTCAATTTTCTTGTGTTGAAATTTACAAAAATTATTACATCTATTACCTAAGATTTTTTACAATTTAAACTTCCAATTGATTTGTTCCATCATTTTTTCAAAAGGTTCAAATATCCAAATATTTTCTTTTAAAACGCTGTTCAAATAATAAAATTAAAATTAAGTATACCAAATCATTTTTTTCTCCTTCAACATGATTTTTTAGTGAAATTTTAGTTATCATCTAACTTACCTTGAAATGTACATTTGTGTAAAGTTTTGAAACCTTTTTATAAATAAAATAAAATAAATCAATTTTAATAAATTTTTCTTCAAAGCTAATTGTTGGTATTTGTCAAAACGCTTTAAGCATTTAACACTCATAACATTTGCTCAAAATAAGATCTGAATGTGAAATAAAAAAATCAATTATAGCACTTTTTTCACTCTACAATAAATAAATCCTTAATTTATGATTTTAAAACGTAATTATTGGTTTCTACAACCATTTTTATTTTCAGAATTACGTGTTCAAATGAACCAAGTATACAGATCAAATTCTAGGATATCATACAAGAATACTGGATACACAAATTATACAAGATTTGCAAAATTGATTTCCGCTTTTTAATTTCTCAATGTCAATTCCAAGTCACTTTTCAATATCATTTCTTTAAAAAATAAATACATTTAATTTAGAAAAAATATTCAGATGGAAGTCTTGACAACAAAAATAATAATATAATCATGAACTAATTTTCAATTAGGTTTATTATAAATGATTTTTTGATAGATCATCATGATTCTTAAAATCAGAAATCTGTTTTTATGCTCATTACTCAAAAACGCTTTCACACAATCTTTCCATTCATCACTCAAATTCAATTTTCATTTACCATTTTAATTAAAATTTGATTTGCAGAAATTTATTATAATGTGAAAATAAAATTTGGATACATATAAATAAATCATGCTGGATTATCAGTTTTGTAATTTATCTTAGAAATAATCTAAATTATTAAAATTTATGATTAGTTTAAAATATTTGTTCAATAATTTCTCAAAATTTTTATTGAGTTAGATTTCACATAAATTGTGCAAAATGATATATTCCAAATTGTTGAGTTTTTTCTAAATTATACATATATCATCTACATATATTTTGCCTGATCATTTTAACTTTATGATCTTCATGAATGTGTTAAATAAATAAATAAATTTATTTATTTATTTATTTATTTGTAAAATAATGATGTTTTGATTTTGAAATTTAAACTTAGATTTATACAAATCTTTATAAAAAATTATAAAAAATTTATCAAAAACATTAATTTGAATACCAACATTATTGATAAAAAAATTGAACTTAAAAAAAATTAAAATTGTCTTTGTTGAATCAAGTTTTTATAGAAAACGGATTAATGTAATATCACAAAGAAATAAAAAATTTGATTTCTAGCTAAATTTTAGAAAAAGATGCTTATGCACTGTTAAATAATTTTTTATTATTTGACTGAAGCTAAATGAATAGAATATTTTTGAAAAAAATATATTTGAAGAAACTTCAACATAACTTTTGATCTTCCACCAAAATACATCGGCGTTTTGAGTACATGGTTTAATTCTATAACATTATGTTCTATGTCATTTTGATATATGTTTTGTGTGCTGTATGCCAATCATGGATGTGCGCATTTGACTTTGGAACACAGTACTAATTATGATAGCATTAACCAGACAATCATCTAGACTATATAACGATGAAAATATGTCTTCGCATTTGTTAGCCGTCCACATATTAAGTCCTATGGCGTGGACTGTATATATAAGTGCATTGTATTGTTGTAAAAGATGCAGCAATTTCCTGTCGCCCATCAACTATGTCACATATGTATCACATCTTTTCACATGTGGTAGTTCATAAAATAAATAAAATGTACTCTTCATATGTAGTAAAAGTCGTTGCTATGGATATCTTGTTCAAATCCCCCGATATTGACTTTACCAAGTCTTGGAGACTTTGATAGGGTTGTATTGTATTACAGATGGAAATTTACATATACACATCAAGTAAAAGAAGATATTGGATCTGTAAGTCTTAGGAAAAAGCTTGATAGCTTCTTTTTCCTTTTAGATTGCATGGAGGTTGCCTATGAACATGGCGCACATGTATATTATTACAATAGTTCCGAGTACAGAGAAAAAGTCGCCTCATAATATAAGAAGTCTCTCATGAAGAAATGAAGAAGATTCCGGATTTCAGAGTTTGCCCCAGTAAGTTTTGTTATGATTGCGGCAAGGAGAATTAATAGATCACGTTGAATATATATACCGACGTTCATGAAGGTGGAGGGCACGTTCATGAGGTACATTCCAGAGTCTTATTACAAGACAAGAATCGGATCCAAAACGGAGTAAATCAGTGAAATGGGCAGCGAGTAAGAGAGCAGAAGGCATGGGAAGAAGTGATATATCAGCGGGTGGTCGTGATTGGTCACAAGCAGGCTCAAACAGAATGAAGTCCAGGACCTCGGACCCGCAAGCCGGAGGCGAAGTAACAGCCCGAGAAGGTCAAAATAACTTGGTGAGGTGGACCAATCGAACGGTCCTTTTAAAAGTGCTGTCAGGGAAAAGTCGCAGCAACTTTAAGCACAGTTAGAGTTACCGCGCAAATCGCGACCAGACGCCAGCCTTGCCCACGACCCCAGTCACCCGACACAGCACGTCCACCACAAATCGGTTTGTGACGCCAATCCAGAAATCGGCTCCTATCTTTACTAGAACGTTCCTCTACATGTTATGGCAAATGACGCACCGCAACATGTACAGAGGAGTGACGAAGAACACGCTGCGTGTCCCTCTCGGCGACCGGCTGGCGGCAGTCATACCGCCCTCGTCTGGCACGTGGGGAGAAAGGAGGTTCGTTTGTCAGACTGTCGAGCGCTACACCAATTGGGAAACGCCTGGAACGGGCGCTCGGACAGATGTTCCCGATCCCCATGCCACGCTCTTACACAGTGCAGAGCGGAACAACGCCTCCTCCTGATTTAGCCGATGTTTCGCTTTTCTGACAAGAGGAACGACCGAACGAACAAACGAACGGAATTGGCTTCACGAAACACCACAGCGCCCGAATGTTTCGCGGTTCGCGGCAGCACCGGCCGCCAGGCCAGGCCAAACCACGTAATGGCATCTTCACCTACAGGGGATGGACGGTTTTAGAAGAAGTTATGACCGGCGTCGATGCTAAGGCCCCTGGTCTGGGTGTCCCGCCCGGTTTGGATCCAACTATCGCGGCCCGCCCGCTTGCGAGTGGATGGGCGCATCCCGACATCCACTCTCGACTCTCGTGATTCGAAGCTAAGCTCGCGGTCGAAGTCTTCACCTCGGGGTGAAATGTTTCACTCCGCCTCCAGTGATTCGTGGGAAAGGGTGAGAGAGGCCTCACCGAGTTGCGTGGCGGTGCGGAGGCAGTTTGTTGGTTCGGTTGTTGGTTGGAAGGTAATTGCTGCTCGAGGGTTGGGCGTACGTGGTTAGGGTTGGCCCGGGCAGAGGAGGGGAGGAGGCCGAAGCGCGACGAAACGCGGTCCTCCATAGCCAGACCTGTTGGCAGTTTTGGTGGTCAACCATTTGGCTGCAGCCGGAGAAGAAGACGGTGGTGAAGGAGGGTGGGCGACGAGGGCGGCCATTGGCGAGGAGGACGAGGAGGAGGGGCAGGAGTAAGGGGAGAAAAACCGGGCGGGAGACAAGGGCAAAAGATGCCACAGTGCGCGGTAATTAGAAAAGAAATGGTCCGCAGTGGAAGCAGGTTGCAGATCTTGCCGGCAAACCTGAAATCTGCGGAACTGATAGGCCTGTGGTCAGGCTCTGGCTCGCTGCGGGTGATGGTGATGATGGTGGGGCGAGGAGCGAGGAAGAAAGAGAAAGGCCGCGATGGTAGACTTTTTGACCGCGACCGAGGTTTCAGTTTAACGTAACTCAACCTCGCCGGGGACTGCTGGTGGGCCGCAGTGCTGCAGGAGTAGGGCGTCGAGGAGGAGCAGCAGCAGCAGCAGCAGGAGTTTTATTACAGAACATATCCGGGTCCCAGGATGAAGACCGAGGTGACCACCGTGATTGCCACCCTGGGCTCGCTCTGACGTGGAGCGGATGATGCTGCAACACGTCAAGAGCCGGTGCTGCCTCTTTTGCCTCTTTGGACTCAATTGCCAACGCAATTCCAACTTGCGAGGCGTATATTTCTCTTGTTTCGGCCTGCCTGCCCGCCCGCCCGCTCGCTCCTGCCAGTACGTCGAAGAGGCCTTGCTTCATTTGCCTTCATCTCTCCTCTGCTCACGCGCCGCTAATCCCCGACCTCCGACCTGCGAGGTGTGAGAAGGCGCAGGATTCTTACATTCGAACGACGAGGTTTCTCTCCAGGTCCGGGCCCCTCTCTCTCAAAGCGCTTTGTTCAGAAAAGTACGTGTGCAATGTCACTCGCTGTCCCGCTTCTTGCCACCTCTGCATCCTCCCCCCGAACGACTGTCAATTTTCAGAGCCAGCTCTTCGCGAACGATCTCGGCTCACCCAAAGTCGACGGTGATCTGTCCTTTGAATTTTGAGCTTCTGTGGTGACCGCATGCGTCCTCCTTGACTCCGCGTTTAGCGCCTATGTCACAAAGTCTGTAGACCAGCGCGGCATTCCATTCCGTTCAGTCAAGCGTGGTACAGGTCTTTTTATGTGTCCATGCAGATGTGATTCGCGAGTGTGCATTTTCAGGAGAAAGTACAGGTTTCCTCATCTAGCAACTGTTTTTTCCCATGATCGCCCAATTGTTGTTGTCTTTGTGTTTGTCCAACTCATTCCTTGTTCAAGTCAGCGATGCAAGCCTGTCATTCTCATGCCCGGGCGGATTGGCGAGCTTACTCCTTCGAGCTTTTCCAAGATGGCGACGTGTAGAGGACATCTGTAGCAGTGTGGACTGTTGCTAAGGTCGTACCCTGCCACGGTTTGGCACACCGGGATCCAGCCACAGGACCGCAAGCTGGAGCTCCCTGTCTGTTTTCGCTTGTCGGAGTCTCCCCTTTCTTATTCACAATCAGTTCAACTGACCACACCTTTTAAGTCTGATCACTCGAGCCCAGAGAGGACATGTGAGTGAATTACAGCCGATTCAGAGTCGCGGAGGAATAAAGACCACATTTGTCATCTGCGGCTGAAGTAGGATGCGTTCAGACAGTGTCCACCGCTTTTCGCGAGCAGGAGGGACTATAGGACATTCGTCAGACCTGCCGCGCGTACCTCGTACCTCTACAGTTTCTCGCACTTGTAATAGTCCTAGTGACAAAATGTGCTCAATTCGCCCTTCTGTTTCCGGCTGAATGACTCTAATCTTCCTGTTCCTTTATTGCTGATATTATTTTCTCGTTGCAGTTCCCACTTTATGATTTGAGTATGCACCATTGAGGATGCAACCTGGGCGAACAGAGGTAATTATCATATCTCCGATCCATGCGCTGTACCAGTTTCGTGCTAATAATGAGCTTGCAATTCTCTTCTTCGATTTAAGTGTGCTTCAAGGTGGCGTCAGCTTAGAAAGTTACAAGGCTTTGAAAAGAACCGACTGCGTTTCTAACGCGGTCAATATTTTACTAATTTTCTAAAGATAGGTGCAGTAAAAACTGGTAGTAAAAGTCTGAAGTTCGGAAAGGATGAAGCAGTTGTCCAAGTGCACGAAAGAACATTAGAAAGTGTCCAGGCTGTCATCGAGAGAGTGGTCATTTCCCAAGCGCAAAGCTAAAATAGCCTTTTCCGTACGCCAACGAGCTCTCTCCCTTGCTTATCCGGCAAACCAGTCTAGGAGTAGATGGCTCAACCTGAAGGCACTGCGTTTTGTAATTGTTGAGTGACCGATCTTGACAACTTCGATCTTAAAATAAAAAACTCTCTCAATGCCAAATTTGTGTGGTCAGTTGAGATTGCCAAGATGACCTCTTCAAAACTCAAGGGTTACAACTGTCTGAAATACGGAGAGTCACAGCATACATCATCTACAGACGACCTCTGGGTTGATTGCGGAAGTTTGTTCGAATGTCGATGCCTGCAGTTGTTCTGGCCTCGCCAATTGGTGAGGAAGTGGCTCCAGTTCAAACCAACTGGAGATGATTTCAACGCTGATAATATTGAGCATGACTCGATTATGGCGGAAGAGGAAGGTGGGTTTCGTTCTACGTTCTTTATCATTTTGTGATTTGACTGTTATTGCCCACTCTACCAGGATTTCTTATGATGCAATTTCAAATGTTGATGTGAATCAGTTCGTTAAACTGGATGTTTTGACATGATGCGTTAAGCCTACCAGGGTAGTACTATGCCCAGGCTGGGAGTTACAGCTGAAATTTCTGAGAGCATATCTTTAGCAAATTGACAACAGTAGGACACTCATGGTGCAGTATGCCAACATTGGATGAGGTCTTCCCTTCTAATGGTTATGCGCAATTGATACTGAAACTTACGGTGATTCTTGCAGAAGAGGAAGTCGAGGAGGGGGAGAGAGAAAATAGCGGACTTACGGACTCTCTGCCTGCACTGACCATCATGGGTATGGGCAAGCACTTATATTTTGCGAACTTCGAAATTAAGCAAGACTTCATCAAAAGGAGGTTTAGATTGAACGATGATGAATCTTCTAAAACACAGAATCACACTTGTTGCGTTACTCTCTATCTTGTTAATCACCACTATAACCGTATACCACGAACCGATCTCGCGAAATCTATCTCTTGTGAACGTTTTCATGATCTTAGGTTGCTAGTTGTGTTTGAGATCTAAAGAGATCACCTTGAATCTGTATGAGATGCACGTTGCTTGAGGGAACTGGTGATATTACTGTTGTAATGGTTGCGTTTGGTAATTTGCTTCAAATCGCTGACAGTAGTCATAACTAATTGATGTGGACAACGGCTGATTGAATCGTTTCTTTCAGAGGAGCCATCGCCACTGACCAGGCCTCCACGACCACTTCATCGAGGTCAAAGCGAGAATCTTAGACCATTAATTCGAGGTCAATCTGAGACTTTGCGGAAACAATATGTGGACACCAAGGAGTACCGGTACACCTTCTGATAATTCCTTCCTTTCGAAGACCCGCAATTTTTTGAGTATATAGTCTTCATAGAGCCGATTGAGCTTTCAATTGTACTGCTTTTGTTGTCTCTCTGGTTCGGACTTGGAGAATCTAAGAGATTATTGACTCTTTCATTTGGTGGATTTAATTTTTTTGTATTGGAGAATTTTAGTTCAACGATTGCCCTAAACTCTACGTTGTCCTGTCTTGCGGAAATTTTTGAAAGATGTGTTTTTCCAATGTTTCAATGGATTCGATACATATAACTTCAGCGCAGGTAGTAATATCTGAAATCGATTGTGGTCTCCAGCATTGCTGTAGGAACTTGGAATGTTGCGGGCAAACCCCCTCCTGACGAACTGGACCTTGATGAGTGGCTCGACAGCTGTCAAGAGGCTGATATATATGTTCTAGGGTCTGTCCGCTCAACCATTTCCAATTCTTGGTGATATTTGTCGGTGTATTTCATTGCAATTTTGTCTTCTTGGGGGAAATCAAATGTAAAATGATGGGTAGATTGTCTGGTAGATTGTATCCTTGGATGCGAACTGAGAAGCTCACTGTCTCTTCCTTCCGATGTGTACCGCAGTTTCCAGGAGATCGTGCCATTGAATGCGGGGAATGTCCTCTGCGTAGAGGATGAAGGACCAGCTGCAAAATGGGAGAAGTTAATACGAGACTCTCTGAACAACAGGTGCTCGTCTTACAGAGAAAAGAGTCAGAGTGCTCCTCACTCACCTTGGAAGGACAATGTATCCGATGTTCCCGAGATAGACATAGAAGCCATAATTGAAGGGGTTGCAAGTGATGACAAGATATGCTCCCTAGTGGAATCTGACGTACCAGCACCGGTCGTAGCTCGGAGGTCTTCTGTCAAGGGACAAAAGGAGGGCACAGGCTCAAACAAGCACAGGTCAAAAAAACCGTATCGGATCACAACAGACGTGAGACTGACACCGGAAAGGAGATTTTCAGCGGATGGTTTGGAGAGATTATATGATCGAACGGGTTCGTCAGATGAGAGGAGGCTACTGGAAGGAAGGCTATTAGAAGATGCAGGATTACCTTCAGATCGGAGGAGAAAGTCTTCAGACGAAAGACTATTGTCAGAAGCACGGTTTCCTTCTGATGGTCATCTGTATGATTGGTCTTTAAAAGATTCCATCCCAGGTCCTGGCGAAGCCTTTCATTCCTTCCTGGATCAAGAAGATTCCCTGCAAACGCCACTTTTCCCACCAGCGGAATCCGATAGCCAGCATTTTTCTGAGGAATCCGAGCGTATCAAAGCACGTTACTCGAGGGTAGCAAGTAAGCAGATGGTGGGCATATTTATTAGTGTTTGGGTCCGATCTGAACTTCGGCGTTATGTTCACAATGTCAAGGTGTCTTGTGTTGGTTGCGGCCTCATGGGTTACCTCGGCAACAAGGTGCAAGTCAAGACCGCATCCTTGTATTTTTACCAGTGAGTAGGTGGAGTGCACATATGATGGCTGATATATATGCATGCTGTATTTTTGTTGATGTTTGCTAGTACTCTGTCTGTTTTGGAACTGGTTACTCTGTGTTCTTATGTCAACAAGGGACTGGTTTGGTCAACAGGGGTCTATATCAGTCAGCATGTCTCTCCATCAGACTTCTTTTTGTTTCACATGTTCCCATCTGACTTCGGGCCACAAAGAAGGCGATGAACAACGCAGAAATCAAGATGTTGCTGAGATATTGCGGCGCACTGTTTTCCCTAGGTCCTCAAAATTGTTGCAGCTTCCTGAGAACATCATGTCTCACGAGTACATATCCAACTATCATACTCTGCAATGAGTTTCTCGTCGTATTTTTCTGTTTCTTTAGCTGAATTTACCTCGGTTTGATTTATACAGATTTATATATATCTTACATCTCTCATATCTTGATGCAAGGAACTAACAGTTTAATGCTAGTTTTATGCTTCTGTAGTGGAGTGAAAGTGTGCGCAGATATTCTTGATCCAACTCTTTTCTTATTCAACATGGCCATCTCACAACTAGAATCTCATAAGTGGATTGTCGTTGTGAATCAAGCAGTTGCATGATTTGGCTGGGAGACCTGAACTATCGCATTGCTATGCCAGACCATGAGGCGAGGACTTTGATTGCCAATGAGGACTGGGAGGTACTTTTAGAGAAAGATCAGGTATGGGAAGGTCACTTTGCTCATCTTGTCATGATAAAATGGAAGAATTGCACATTTGTTGCATCTTGAACCTCAATTGTAATTCACTCATCTCTTCTATGTTTGCATGCAGTTGAAACTTGAGCAAAATGGAGGGCGAGTGTTTGATGGATGGCAAGAGGGACCAATCTACTTTCCTCCTACCTACAAATATGGTTTCAACTCAGATCAGTATTCTGGAGAAAACGTCAAGCCTGGCGAGAAGAGACGAACACCAGCATGGTAAGCTAATTATTTTTAAAAGTAGCTCATTCTTGTTCATACCCGTATGTATGAAAGATTCCAGATTATTTGAATTTCTAGTCCTTTCATAGAACTGACGATTTGATAGAGAAGGCTATGAAGAAGTCAAGAAGAGAGTCGGCCTGAAGTAATAGTTCACTACATGTGCAGGTGTGACCGTATATTATATCTTGGAAAAGCGCTGAGAGAATTATCGTACATCCGTACGGAGTCTAGACTGTCAGATCATCGCCCTGTTAGTGCCGTATTCGTAGCAGAAGTGGAGCGACTTAGCCGCCACAAGTTGAAGAGAGCCGTGACATTTGCTAAACCAGTGCATAGCATTCAATCCGAGGACATTTCTCCTCATCTTTCATCCCTTCGAGGTTTACACAAAATTCCCATTGACGAGGTAATGTGACCAGTCGAATTTACTTGATATACGATGTTTTCCGAGGATCAACATTTTATTTCTAACATTCTTCTACGCTTTTTAAATGTCTGTTTAAATCATTCGCTCAGGTGCAAATTTGGTTGAAGGGAAAGCAATGTCACATACTGAAGGTTCAAGACCATTGATGTTGCATTTTGCAGATGAGGTTTCCATCACTTGCGGATGTACGTAATCCACAACCCACTGCGAAGCTGACAGTCTCCCAGTCGTTCAAACATAAGCTCCGGAAGGAACGGTCACTACCCAGTACATGCATGAAAATTGGAGAAGACATGGAGGTGAGAAGATTTTAGCAGCAGAGAGTGCGATGTGGAGCAGTCTAACTTTTAATTTCCTCTGGCTTGACAATCATGTCAATATCTTTTTTGCTCATCTTCAACCACACAACATCTTTTAACCTTCCTGCTAATAACCTTGTCCACTGACAAAGTGTTTCCTTGAGGAGCCGTATCTGATCGGGACTTGTGGATGTGAAACAGCAGATTTCTAATCAAGGATTTGCGCATCCAAACATGTTGTCAGTGTTCTGAAGTTTTGACCGATGCTGCCAAGAATCTCCTCAGTGATGCTTATAGAAATATATGTCATTGCTGCCTTCATAAGACAACGGAAGGTTCTTCTTCTGTGTATCATAGACAACTGTGAAACCATCTGCCGACTCAAGACTAAAGAATTCCAAGACCACATAGGCGAGACTATCCGTGTACAAATAGCTAAAACGCTCAGAAATATAACTAATGATTATGAATCTATAAGGTCATGACTCGGGCGGAACGGGGTGAAGGTTGATATATTAAGTAGTACATAATATAGTAGCAGCTACGTCAGGGGATTCTCTGCATCCCCTCAAGAGTAAGCACGATGTGCAGAGTAATATTTAGTAATAGAGAATTTTACCGAGACAGACCTGGACTAAACCTGGTTCGGGAGCTGTTTTAGAGAAATCAATTGGCTGTGGCACAAGTATTGGAGTCCACCAGTTAATCACCACGTCTCAATTCATGGCTGCTCGAAGCGCCATTGGAGGTACTTATGTCTGTTACTTGTAATTCGTGGCTGTTGTTGAAGCTCATGTCGCCTTTCCTGAACTTATGTCGTCGCTCTGTTCAACAGTACCTACAGGCTCTGTCCAGCTGACATGAGTGGTCTGGTTATGGCTCGCAGAAGGAGGAGTATAATAAGGGATTTAATGGCTAGTGGGTAGAATTGAAGCACCAATAAGTTGGTACTTCGTCACTTCCTTTGTACATCAAAAAGTATATATTGTTCAAGAAATTCCTTTGTACCATTATTTCAGTTATTTTAAGATCTCAACGTACTACTGCTTTCATGAGTATTTATGTTTGTGTATATGAAGTGTTCGAGTATGTTCAGAGTTCGTACCATCTTGTAAATGCATAATATATCTTTATGAAGGCATTACTATTCTGATCCTTGATAGATCTTAAAGTTTGAAAGAGTAACAACCTTCGGTGGATGGAAATGAAAGTAAGAGAAGACTTTGTCATCTGGAGGTATCAAGTTGCCCCAGCCCTGCAATTAAGTGATAACTCAGAGTTTTTACTGACTTTGCTAGCCCTATACTTATTTCCGAGGGTAAGAGAGGGAAGATAATTAAGTACATATGAAAAAGTGAAGAAAATCTAACGGAGAATGCAAGCTGTAGCTTTTAAGAAATGGGTAGTAGAGTTGTAATCTAGACAAAGCCCGTAGGCAAAGTTAGCGTTCCTTTGCGAGGACGAGGGCGAAGTTGAGACGTCCGGTGTAGTGGCATTTGAGAATGGCAAGCGTTTGCAATTTACTGTTCTGCTGGATGGACTCTGGCATTCAATGAGAAAAGCTAACACCAGCTGGTTTCAACAGACAACGTTTGTAGGACTGAAGGTTGAAGTTAAACAAGTGCGAGTGGTGAAGATCTTTCTCTTCCGGTACAAAGTGGGGCCAAGATGGGCCTCGACATCCCGACCTTTAGTCTTGCCTCTTCTGTTACTGCAACCACTGGGTTCTAAGATCTGAGAGTCGTCTTGCCGTAACCGAAGGTTCTGTAGCCGGCGCGTGATTAGCCATTCAAGAATTTGGAGCTTTTAGTTCTTTCCCATATCTGTATATAAAGAGCCCAGGTCGAAGAGTTGATCAAAGAGTAGTGCTTTTGGTCCTGGAGGTTGCTATACTCCCCCTGAAGGAGATACTCCACATCGACAAGGTTTTAAGGAGCAAAGATGGAGCAAAGATGTAAATATGACGAACACTGTACTTTAATGTAAACTATTGATCTGACATTTTTCTGATGCTCAGCTTCATTCTCGATGTCCATGATGATCCAATATTCTACCTGTGTGATACTCTTTAGACAGTAGGAATGAAGATCTGTGTGGAATGCTGCATGCAAATACAAAACGCAAGAGAAATCTTGAAGATTTTGTGGCACAGTGCTGGTACTAGAAGAACATGTTTGCTCCAACTCTGATAACACATTGCATGCATGGTGCGCACAGGGTGGGCAAATCCGAGGAGGCGTTCTCTGAACACGATTGTTCAGTGTGCGATGAATGCCGGAAAGCATGTTTCTCTCCTCGGAACGGAACCAATGGATGGAAAGTACGTTCTGCCTTGTCTGTTTCGCATCGTCAAAGTAATGCATGAGTTATTGCGAGGACAAAGCAGCAGAGCCTCACAACTTGCCCTCGTAGTGTGGCTTACGATTTCCACACTGCTTCGGTACATCCAGTACCGTGTCACACAATAAATTCAACGACTTCCACTGCTTCGGTACATCCAGTACTGTGTCACATAATAAATTCAACGACTTCCATGATTTAGCTATTCTTGTGCCTCTGTTCAGAACTTCCGACTCCATGGGCCGATGAATGCAATGCCCAGCGATCAGCCGAGGAGCAAAGACAAAGAGAACTCGCAGACTGCAGTAGATTAGTTTTTATAACCAAGCCAGTCGCAGCAGAAGCCGGGCTGGAGAAACGGCCATCAAGGAATATACTGAGAAGCTTCTCACTCAATCACGGATACGATCCGCAAGCGACGGCAGGCGCTATCGTAGAAGCTAAGTGTGGTGTGGAAGCGCATGGGCAGTCAGCACGAATGTAGAAAACGACATATTTCGAAGGTGTACGTGATGATTGAGTACGAACGCCTGCTTCTTTGGCTGGCTGCCGTAGAACGAGTAGTCTGCATGAGCATTGAGCTGCATTCACAGCCTAGACCTGCAGCTGCACTCGCACCGGACAGACAGACATGTAGACAGATGCGATGCCCGAGCGTAGCACGGAAATCCAATCTGATCTATGGCCTACAGAGAAACGCTTGTCGACTTGTCGAAAGTTCTTGCGCAGAGTTAAAGTGGAGCGCATCTTCAGGTCCCCATATCATCCCCCATACTACTGGTGGACCCTCGCCCTCCTGCCCGCAGCAGCAACTCCACCTCCAGCTCGTTCTCTGATATATGAAGGCCTGCGCAGATGGCGGTGCCTTGAGTGCAAGTCCGAGGCCGAGTGTGAGTGTGCGTGCACTGATCATGATCAGCGTCACATGGGCCTTTCTCGACTCAGATCTTCCGACTATACTCCTTACTACCAACACCACACCACACTAGTTACAACTTGTCTCATAATCTGATTCGTCTCCCTCGTGAATCCTCTGAGTTTCTGCTGCGTTTCTGACTCGACCGACCCTCAGGTCAGTACGATCACAATCACGCACTGCTTCGCACCAACAGCGCACAGAACGAAATTTTGCAAAAGAAGCCCATTCGCATTTCTTTTTCTTTGCCTACACGCACAATTGGCCTTTGTGCTGTACAGGAGCTTACAAGAAGCAATTTTGAATCTCATGACTTTATGGGTATCGAGCAAACAAGTGATAGTTCAAAACTTGGACTTCACCTCCTTCTCGGAGACGGCATTTGTTGTCCATGCCCCAGATGACGCGCAAGTCTTTTCATTGTCTTGTCGTCGGTCTCGGAGTTCTGACTCTTGGGGGCAACGGTTCTCAGTGTGCGAAAATTCAATTCGCCACGACCGCGCCTCAATCGCAACTCTATGCACGTAACGGCAGTTTCTTGATTCCTTCAGCTTCCTTCCGTTGCCATCCTGGACATTCTTCCATCGAATGTGATGCAGATAAGGCTTCCTTGACTGGACTTTTCGTGGTCACTGATTTGATCGAGGGGAAGTCCAGCCGTGGCAGTAAATTGTTGAACTTTTTTAGTAGCAAGAAACGTGATTCCCCGCGATTGCTTGCTCTGTTGGCTTCCGTGCGGAATATATGCAGTCGTGTGGAGCTTGCAGACAGCTCGAGCTGTTTGCAAGCGTTCTAGACTCCATGCTTGCGATTGCATTTACTCATATACCGGGCTTCCAAAGGGCTGGATGATATGGGCGAAAGAATTACTAGCTTGTAGCACCTTGGTTCTCATCGGCATGACTGGCTGGCCCAGACGACGTAAATGACAGAATGAATGGATATTTGATGTGCAATTTGCCAATTTAAGTCAAAGTCGGATACTTACTTTCTCAACCCTGACGTCTTTGACATGGGACAGTTCTGGAGTTTCAAAGCATCGACGCAGAATGGCGCACCTTCTTTCGTGGGCTCAAGGCATCGTGCCGAATCCGAGGTCGCCAGGGGTGCATCACGACAATGTCCATTGCCAGGGCTCCTTCAAATCAGTTCCCACCTGGGCTGGTAGAGCAACCGTGCTCTACCAGCCCAAATCTGGTGACAGTTGTTCCAATAGCCTGTTGAGAAATTCGAGAGCAATACGGTTCTCGGCTACAAGCAGACCTGACAGTCAAGGACGGACAGATGCAACGAGTGTCGAGCCTGTGGAAACAACAGAAGGCAGAGTCCGTATCTTCTGACACTATTTGATTCTACAAGTGCTGTGTCACTCCAGGAAATGAAATCTCTTTGCATACTGACTGACTGCCAGATCACGGATGTCAAGCTCCCTTGTGGTGGCCTGATGTGCGAATCGTATACTTAGAATCTTCTCGTTAGAAGACTTTCTGATTAGATGTTGCACGTCTTATGAGATATTCTTTCGTTTCTGTGCTTGCTCAGCTGAACATGGTTGCTGCTATGGCTGAAACCCGAGAGTTAGGTACTCCAGAACGTAGTCGCACTTCCCAGTTGATAATTCGTCTTGTTGTCCATCTGCAACAGAGTCTCAAGGCGTGAATTGCGATGAGCACATGCGTGTTGTGTGATATGCTTAGATGTTTCCCGACATGAATGCAGATAGCAAAGCTGCTTGCTGCCAATGAGAGGCTGCTCGCCCGAATCGCAGACTTGGAGAAAGTCGTGAATGAAGTCAGGGCAGAAAACGCAGGCTACATAGAGGACAAAGCTTCAGCAACTCCAGTAGCCAGCTCGAGCCAAGCACCGAACGCGTTCAAGTCTCCTGAACCAGGGATTAGTCTGGAGTCGGATTCGGGCACAGGTGCTGTCACGGTGAGAAAGTCAAGTACAGAAAGTCACACTCTCCGAGTGTTCGTTGTGAGATTTTTGAATCATTTGTTACAATTTGAAGATTTTTCCTTTATTTTGTTGTTCATTACATGCAGATCGAAACAAGCACATCACTTTTCATACTTTGACAGGATTTTGGCTTGGATGTATTTACGCCTTGGGCAGGTCGAGAACAGTTCATTGTCACAACAGCCCCTTCCTGCAGCTCAAGAGGCAACGCTAATTCTGTCGCAGTTGGCGAATATCAGGTGGCCCTCTCCGAATGATGAAGTTCCTTTTTGGATGAGGAAATCTAACGTGCATGATCACGTCACTAGTTTTATTGATAACTCGGGAGCAGGGAGGAAGATCGAACCAGATAAGAACCCTTTATACATAGTCCATGTAACAGCTGAACTGGCACCTGTGGCCAAAGTGGGCGGGTTAGGCGATGTGGTGACGGGGCTGGGACGAACATGTATGGAGAGAGGACACAAGGTGCTTGTTATGCTTCCCTTCTATGAAAGTATTGATACGACACAAGTGGAAGGCCTAGCTGAAGCAGAAACTTTTTCATCCTTTCATAAGGGATCCTGGCTGCCTGTAAAATCGTTTCATGGGAAAGTGGCTGGAGTTCCAGTACTGCTGATACGTACAGACAATAATCTTTTTAAAGGAAGTCAGATATACGGTGGAGATTATGATGAAATGGAGGCCTATTTATTCTTCAGTCGCGCTTGTCTTGAGAGAATGCAGGTGTGTCTCCGACCACAATGTATGTATGTATGTGGCACATAAAACTTGGCATGCCGGAGCAGAAAGTGTTCATAAATTTCCTACGGTTCAAGTGACAAAACCTGTCTTCTTTAAGACTTTGTTTTACGCTCCTCTTAAATCAAATATTCCTTTATTACTTGTGCTTGTAAGCAAGTGTCTTGAAGTATGTCAATCATGGTTCACAAGCAGGTGATAATACACGTTTTCTGGAAGTGTAGGTCACTGGCGATCAACCTGATGTTATTCATATACATGAATGGCATACTGGTGTACTGGCAATGCTATACTGGGACATGTATAACCATTTATCTTTAAAGGTAAGCGTGTACAGGCGAAGATGTTTTATGGCATGTACTATCCTTTGTCTTTTCTTTGTTCGTGTGTTTGCTCTTCGAGATCGAATCTTTTCCATATTGTGCTGATGCAGTTGTAATTACTGTGAAGTCATGAGCGGGAAAACACCAGCGGAACAGAAGAAGCGTTTGCCTCTAAACTGAATCACGTTTCTGCCGTATAGCACAAGGGAGACAAAAATCTGACTATGAACGTTTTGCATGATGATGACTAAATTTTTTTTACCAGAAACCACGTATTGTCCTTACTATTCACAACATGGAGCACTATGGCGAGTGCAGGTGTGTATCATTTTCAGATCCTGAAATCCTGACAGTCCTATGCCTGTGTTTCAGCGGCTTCTCTGTATAAAGGAACACCATTAGCAGGAGTTGTTTTCTGACTGTCCCCGTTCGCTTATACTTGGCTTCTCCCTTGTTCGTGGATCAGTGAAATCTTTTCTTTTCAGAGTTGGACGTCAATAGCCTCATATTCATAATGTTTCTCAAAGCTGCTTTTAAACTTATAGAGATAGCTATTTCATGATAAGTATCGTACTGAGTCTGCTAAATCCATATTGAAATTATTATACCTTTAAACATTGAGCATAAGATGCCAAACTTCATAGCTTGCAAAGAGGCTGGTCACTCGAAAGCTTTGTATTCATGAGCGAAAGCAAATTGGCAGTTTTTTGCTAAAGGGCTGCGTTGTATGCAGGGTGGAGCAGCTCAACATGTGTGGTCTAGACGGTTCAGCCTATGGTACCATTGATAGGGTTAGTCCCTATTGTATCTTCTTTCAGATAATACTACCTTTCTAGGTCTCATATTTGATCATGCGTGCAAAGATATGTAGCATTTCTATGGTACTGACGTGGATACCGATCCACTACTTTGTCCATCCTCCATGAAGAGTTCTTGATTTTCTTCCAGATTGCCGTTGTTGATGGGCATATGCGCTGACTGGTGCGGAATACGCGGACGTAGTAAGATCTGCTTGTCTGTGGTTTTTTTTTTCCCGACACCGTAGGGCCTCCATATTATCTACTCTTCTGCCTCACCATGAAAAACCTTCTGACTCTCGTCTCAGGCAATAGATGAGCGGACTATTGGACACAACCCCGAAAGGCTGAGTTTGCTTAAGGGTGGAATTGTCTACAGCAATGCTGTTACGTAAGAAATCGCAATTGCCTCTCTATAAGAGCAGCCTCCTTGAAATCAGGAGTCGCTGTATGTGAATCGTATTTCTGCAATTTCCAGCTTTTGTTTTCTACCGAGCCTGGGCAGAAGAAAAATGTGTTTGTTTGCGCTGATGTTGTTGCCGCTCATGTGGCAGAACTGTTTCCCCTACGTATGCCAATGAAACACTTTGCTCGGGATGGCTGGCCAACACTCTCTTGAGGAATCGATCGAAGTGCGCTGAATCCAACAATCTGCTTGAACTTGACGACCTTCCCTGTCATGGCCATTATTTAACCAACTTTAATCTAGATGGCTTTTCTTTCTACAACATTTAACACCAAATTGAGTTTGATGGTTTCTGTATCCAGCTTATGAAGGAAATGTAAGTGTTTAGCTGGCCACCTTTTTAAAAGTCCAAGTGCCACACGATATGATCATCAGTAACTGTTAGATTTCTGTCCCAGGTACTTCGGAATATTGAATGGGATTGACACTACAGTGTGGGATCCTGCCAGTGATCCCTGTCTGCCAATGCAATACAATGGTGAGTCAGCAAAAGAATAGCTTTTAAGACCTAGATTTTGCAGCTGCCTACAAAGAGCAAAATGATTCAGAATATGTTGAAAAGAGTACGGTCCTTCTGCCAGACTAAATGCCTGTATTTATAACCTCTTCCTTGGAACTTTTGGCAGCCCGGAAGATTTTTGGCAAGCTAGTCTGCAAACAATACGTCCAGCGTGGATTGGGTTTGGAGGCTGATGATCTGGTTGGAGATGGTATCCAGCTAGTCAGGCGAAAACAGACTCCACTTGTCATATGCATCACGAGATTAGTTGCACAGAAAGGCATCCATCTCATACGCCACGCGATCAATCAGATAGGTGAAAGAGTAAGCTTCTGCACTTTTTGCTCCGAAGAAATTCTATGTTATCAAGCAGAACAAATGAATTGCAAACAAAGTTTGTCGCATGTACCTTCAAGGTTCACCAGCGGAGTTATCCTTTGTTGAAACATAATAATTTCTGAGTAGCCTTGCGCTCGATGTACATGATTTACTAGCTCAACTTTATTCAGGGAGGTCAATTTGTATTGCTTGGAACTGCGCCTGATCCCCGAGTGCAAGCTGAATTCGAGCAGATGAGTCAGAAGGTATGTTGAACGAACCATTCCCGTAAACACCAGTTTCCAGAGATGTATTAGTCGTCCCAAATCTGTACATATGGGTCTCGTACCACTGAAACAAAAGCTTTTGTGCATCATTTTCTAACGGTCTCTGTTGACGTATTGAGTTGTTTTCTTTCTCACCCAAACGTGTCACTTCAGTCGCTAATATTTGAAAATGCTTCAGCTTCAAACCAGCAAGAACATCCGGCTTCTTACTTTCTACAGGTAACTTTCCCATTTCCACTAGCAGCAGTGTGGTGCTTATGTGCTCACAAAATTGTAACGATATAAAAGCGACGTCAAGAAGGTCTCACTTCTGAAATTATGAGCTCTCTTCTATTGCAGTGAGGATCTAGCACATAAGCTTTATGCAGCGGGTGACATCGTGCTTGTGCCTTCCATGTTCGAACCTTGCGGACTCACTCAGATGATTGGAATGCGATACGGAGCGGTAATTCTTTTACCGCATTCCTGACTATGACACTATATTTTAGTGGTCTCTAGAGGTATAGATAGCTTAGCAGAAGGTGCTGGTTCATTCCTTTCCTTCAAGGCGAAGATGAAGACGAGACAACAATGTTCATAGCTGTCGAGGTGGTAATTAACGTTCTATGCGGAATGATAGGAGTGGGGACATTTCTACCCGATGAACTTCCCACCTGACAATTACTTCCACCAGGGTCACGCCCCGTTTCGGTGGCGCTTAAGGCCAGAAGCAGGGTCATAGACCCGCCCCCACCTCAGGGAATAAGTAAAAGGATGACAACACCTCAAGTTACTTGTGGGTACATTTTCTGTAATGAGCTGGACATTGTTCATGGTACTAGGTTTGTACGTGCGACTCATCAACGGACGAAAGCTGGCCTTTGTCAATTAACACACAGTCGACAATGAAATCTGCTTGCAGATTCCCGTCGTTAGGAGAACCGGTGGATTGGCTGATACGGTCTTCGACATTGATGACCCTAAAAATAAAAATCGAGGAAATGGGTAAAAAACTGCTGCGTCTTTGTCTTTGCCCCAACAACTGAACTGGACACTGTAGACACTGATTTTCCAATCTGACCCGTTCCGTTCACTTCCCTTGAGCAGCTTCGTCTTTGATGGAATTTCTGAAGATTCTCTGGACAGCGCTCTCAACCGTGCCCTCACTTATCATCAGGAACGTAAGCTCAAAAACTGCTCGGCCTGCCTCCAATCATCGTGTGTCATGTACTCTTATTGGCCTGTCTTTGTTAGACTGATCTTCTCTGGCAACTTCCAGGTCGAGAGTGGTGGCAAGATTTGACAGCCCGTGTTATGGAGTTGGACCATAGCTGGAATAAGTCTGCTGCGGAGTACTTGAACCTGTACAACAATGTACGCGTGGGTTGAAGTCTTCGATACAGGTTAGACTTCTACACCTTATCCACAGACAAGTGTCTGTTTTGAGTTGGACGCTCATAGAATACTCTGCCGGATTCCACACACACTCTAGCTATAGTTACTCCAACGGTCGGAGTGTTCGCCCCTGTACTAGAATGTTATGTGCATACGAGCAGCTGTTAGTCTCGAACTTGGATATTCACCGTCAACTGTGAAGATTAAATTTCTCTAATAGTACTTGGCTGGATCTGCAACCGCTCAGTGATCGAACACTTCACCTCCGTTATGGTGGGAGAGCTGGAGAAATTTTCTCATTTAGAACTGATTGATTCTGGAATCACAGGATGTACTTCATTTTATTACATGTCATCGAATCATCCTTTCTCATAATACGATTCATTGTTATGTGCTTTTTCTATGTAAACTTATACTTTCAATACAACTTAGCAAATTGATGTCAAGTCACATTTCAAACGGAAAATTTAAGTCAACTTTTACGAAAATGAAGCTACTTTGTGACAACTCCCGGCGGGTTTTTTGCAACTGGATTTAACATGATTCTTTACTTGCAGTGAAAGGTTTTTTAACGGTAGCTTCTCACTGGCGACGAACTCGAGAAAAATACTTTCGTACACTTATGTTGAGCAAAGTTTTATGCCAAACACACCAGGTCATGCTGTTGTAAATGAAGCTCAAAGTCAGTGTATATCAATGAAAGGGAAATTTGTGTTTAATAAGTAGAGGTGTAGCGATAACTGTAGGTTCAATTTAGAGTCAGTTTAAAATTAAAAGCCAAATCATAGTCAAGTATAAAAAGTATTTACCATTACCTTCTAGAGCTAAATACTAATATGAAGTAGGGTTTTGATCAGGACTCAGCTTACTCTAGCTTTCCTCTAAAAGAGCCTAATACCTTACTTACTGTAAGTAAGTAAGGTGTTCAGACTCACACCGCCACTTATGAAGTGAAAAAAGGAGTTTTAGATGTACAAGTCGCCATTAGTGATATCATGTTGCCCTAGCTTTCTGCCGAAAATCCCCATTCATCATTGGAGAAAACAATAAACAATAAATTTTTGACCTCTTGTTCTTAGTTTATAAGAAGAGGAATTATATGCATATATATTCAAAAATAAATCTTTTGGACACTTCTCAAGTCCAATTTCTTTTACTTTAGATATATACAATGCAAGTTATGCGACGCTAATATGAAAAAAGACAAATAGTGGTTTATAATCAAATAAATATATCTATCTATCTATCAAAACAAGCTCTTTCAGTACTTTTCCCCATTTTGTTTAAGCCGGCTGGATTTGTGTATACTCATATAGATGTCAGGACAAGTCAAGATATTACCATTTGAATATAATTTACACCGGATGCTGCCCACGTGATGATTATTGGCTTCGCACTTCTTTAGACATCAATACAGTTTTCTGGATTGAGATCATTGACCAATCAGCCTGCAAAGCCATACTCATAAATTTCATCTTTTTTACGGATTGGACTTCTTTTCCTCTTGCTTGCATTGACTCTTCATCTCTTCACCATACATCTTGCTTTTTACCTTGTTGTCTAACGACTCAGACTATGTGTGTGTAATTCAATAACGGATTAATACTTGCAAATGTAGATCAATATAAATATTACTAATAATGTGTTTTACTATTATTTTAAATATTTAATGTTTAACTACATTTTCAAAAAATGCGAAGGTTCAAGTCTTCTTTGTAAATTTATAAACTTTTTGAATTCAAATCTTTGCAATATCATAGTCCAAATTCACATATTACTCTAGGTTGAATTGCTTTATTAGAAGTTGATATGAATGATAATTCATTCATATCAGCTTCTACGAGTTATTCCAAGTTTCAGAAGCAAATAATTAAATGCATAAACATAGTCTTCAATTTTTAGTACTTCTTTATCTTCAAGCCCATTAATATTCATGGGAAATTGTCGCCAATTTGAATGTTATATATGGAAATTCTTCTTTTAAAAAGTTTGCAATCAACCATATAAATTTGTTGACAAAATTTAGATACAATTAAATTCATAGACAATATATATTATCCTTTCAACATTTATAATACATATAAAAAAACTAAAGATGTCAAGATATTAGAGTTAAAAACCAATCACAATCAATTGACATATTATAAGCGTGTGGAATATGTAGAGAGTGAGGAACAAGTAGCTTGCATCCTAGAACGCAATGCATATCTCAAAATTATTTGATATCCAGAATAAATAAACATATTACGATTTTAATACAAAAATAGAGAGTTCTAAATCAACACATTTCCGCTATAAAATTTTTAATTTCCTAAAATAAAGTTTGAATGGATTTTAGTTGTTATTTTTTCACAAGCTGTCTTGCTAAGTCAAATCCAAAGAGATAAAATCATATTCCATGATGTAGATGTACAATATATAAAAACTTTGGAAATTTTGATTTGCTTATATATAATAAATATATCATTTTTATATGTATTTGAAATTCGTTTTAATACATACATTATTTCAAACGTTTGACAGTAAGCATGAATACGACTGCTATCATTCAACAGATATCAAAAAAAATAAAATTTAAAAGGGATTTTTTTACAAATACAAGTATCAAATAAAAATTTAATATATGAATTCTTCTTAAAAATGCAAAATTTTTCCACTCAAATATCAGGATCTTGGTGTGCATAAAGTTCCTTTTTTGTAAAATAGAAATTTTTTTCAATGAAGAATTTCTACTTTAATTGTATAAATTAATAATGTCTATTGTATAAAATAATTTTAAATGAAAATTAAACATCTTTCCTTAGTAGAGTTGATACTATTGATCATAAGCTTGATAATGATATGACTTAAAAAATTTATATTTATTTCTATAAATAAAAAATATAGTAAATAAAAATAATGTATTTCTGGTCAAAATTAAAAAAATTAAAAAATATTTTCTAAATTCAAGGATGTATTAATTTTTTAAACTTTTATTAATAAAATCTTTAAAATTTCTTGAAAAGTATAAAATAACATATTGTGTTGAAATTCATACTAGTAAGAAATACTTTAAAATTTGACTTTCATACACTACATATATTCATTAATTCTTAGAACAGATATTTGTAATTCTATCATCTAAATAAAAAAGTATCAAACTTTTGGTTTCTGTTTGTGGAAATGTAAGTTATAAATTAAAAATGTTATTATTCTAAAATATGTTTATTTATAAAAAAAACCTGCAATTTCATTCAATGATGATGATAATATGCATATTTTTGAAAAAACTTATTACATATTTGATCCTATGGAAACGTTGATTTACTTTGTGGAAATTTATAAAAAAAACTCATAAATTTTATGATTAATCAAAAATAATAAGAACATATCGTTTTTTTTGCTTATAGAACGTTATGATAAATATGTCAGATATCTAATTTCTATTTTCAGATAAATATTGATTAAAAATCAGATATTATTAATTTCGAAAATTTAATTCATGTTTATCATAAACATCAAAGTTTTGATATTCTTTCTTTCATACAACTGGAATTTACATCATATCACTTCTCAATCAATTCTATTTCATCCTTGCAAGTTAATTAAATTACACATGAAATATTATTTAATATAATTATAAATATATAGAATGGACTTCATGGAAAACCTAGTACAATATAATGTATCATTTAATAATATAATGCAAATAAAATACCGCTAATTAATTTAACATAGTTTATGTGTAATGTTTGTAAATATTGATTTTATTTATTGAAGTAATTAAATAATGATAAATAAATTTTAATTTATCAATTTTTAAGTTTATTCAATTCTCAATTTTACTTTCTTTAATTTTATACTTGTTATTATATAGAAACGGGATATTTGAACAGATTTTTATTAACAAAAAAATATAGTTATCCTATATGTTTGCATAACATGTAAATAAATTGTCTTCATCAAACAAATTGTATAGGAAAGATATCGAATTTATGACCTCAGAACAAAATTTGTGTCACAAGTCAAGACAAAACTTATAAAGCAATCAACCAATATGTGTCAAAATCTGTATGGAATACAAAAAAAATTGTATGAAGCAATATTTCGTAGTTTTTACTAATGCTTTACATTAACCAACGAAATCGCTGGATATATACAATATATTATAGTGTTATAAATTTTTAATTCATAGACAGGATATAATTATATATTATGTTTTGAAAATGTCTAGTTAATTGTAAAGTTCAATTTTTTGACATTTAGTTCTTACAAGAAATGATGTATGTGATTATTTATGCAGAATGTTGCCGAATTTAAAACTATGTGAATACTGGATACTTTAGATGATTATGGGTACTAAAAGGTGATAACTTCATAACAAAAGCGGAAATACTTAGATTGTGTGAAGTACAATAATATAAAATAGACAATAATGTAAAAAGAAATGAGTATATAATAATTTCAAAGTTACAATATTAAATTGATTACTCCAAATTCTATTATATATATATATTAATTAATTAACACCTTGAAAAGTATAAGAAGCCAAGTATTTATGAATTCAACACATATAGACATAAAAGGAAAAAAAATCCAGAATCATTCTACATTGTAAGGGCATGATTGTATATCCAACAGATTTGTTTGTCCAAGTGAAATTGTGGCAAATCCCAAAAATGATTTGATTCATGTGGGAGAAACTTAGTCAAGTGCTTAGTAGGTACAAAGTTAAACCTCCCAATAGTGTCATCTCTTATTAGTGACATAGAATTCAAGAACCATTAGATTTCAACTTGTAAATCTATTCAATAAGAATGCAATTGTCACTATTGGCAATGGTGACATGATACTTTCTAATAGTGAAGGTTCCAACGGTACTTTTCAAAAAATAATTTAATTTGATTCTTTATTGCTCTTACTCGAGCCGAACTCCCAGCCAACTTGCCTCACGCTCGCCACAAACATGGCGTGGATATCCACCACGCACCCTGCCTCGACTCCCCTCGCTGCCCCATGCTTTCCTTGTAGTCGCTCTTGTCTGCACTTCCCCACACCTTGCTCTAGTCGGATCGTGAGAAAAAATAGAAGTGGTGATTCTGTAACCTCCATTTATTAAAATTTATTTATCCACATAATTCCATCATGTAACACTGTCCATTCTTATTCTTGTTAAGTTATTTTCATTTTTTTATATTAACCATTTTACACGTGAGAAAATACACGAATCACTCTACAAATGTTCTGAGCTCTACTTGCTCACTTTTCATAATTTATAATTTTGATTTATCTTGAAGACTTCAGTTTTATTTGCTCATTTTCCACAATTTATAACTCTGTTTCACATTTGAGACATGAGGATGAGCTTATTAAAGACTACGATATTTGAATTCGAAGACAAGTCATCAAAATGATAATATACGCCAAATGAGCTACTAAATATTTAGCAGTTCCACTAAACGTGCCAAAAGAATGTATCTATATGATCTGCTACATACTATCCAACCTGGTGTGAGTGACGTCCCAATAATGAAGTAAAACTCTAAAACCAATGCATGTCACTATTGGGAGGTTTAACTCCGTAGTTCAAAACATGAGAGCAACAATTCAAAGTCATGACTGCTTGATCATTGATAGATGTTGTGAAGAATTTGTTCGTTTCCAAATTCATTTCAAGTATGTGATGACATGTTCTCTGCTTGTCTTCAATGCATATTTATGTCCCAAGTTTAATTCTTCAATTTAATTTCTTATATTTTTTGTAAGAAACCTAACACAGGAGAAGAAGATAGAAAAAATTCTGGAGCATGGACCAGGTAAAAAGTTCATCGGAAGAGCAACTAAATGAAATTTAAAAGTTGAGTATAGAACGATCTATTAGCATCATTGTCTTTAATACTAAATGTTTCATCTAGGTTATCTCTAGCCGCTTTTGGCTTTAATCATTCTCCTTGCGTTTTGTTTGACTCTGTACCTCAATTTCGGGTTTGGCATGTAGCCCTCCTCTGCCGGGGGGTGCGTCGCCTTAGATGTAAGAAGAAAAATAGTAACCTAAACTTCAAAAGCAAGCCGGGCCAATTTCTTTAGCAAAAGGATGGGAAGACCCCACCAAGCCGCACATGATACGCACATCGCTTTATGATTCCAACAACAGCTTCGACAATTCTCTCTGCAATCTATTAAAGGTAGAAACCGAACACGTTGGCAATACATCGTGCAGATTTCTCACTTGTACTTTACTTTAACTTCCCCATAGTAGATGAAGATATCGAGGCCGTCCGATCGAGGAAACCCTAAGGAGAGACACTAACCAGAGTCAAGACAGGCAACTAACTGATCGGGCAGACCAGGAAAGGGTGTGGAAAGGAGGAAAGTATTAGGGTTGTGGTTCTTTTCAGCGTTCTCCTCTTTCTTCTCGTGAATTTTGCAACTCCTGACGAACAACTTCGTGACAGAGGTAAGCGCCCAATGTTTGATTTGAGTCACTGTGGTTCCTGTCACACGTTTGCGTGCACTCCCGTGCGGATTTTGCAATTCCCGTGTGTTTCTTCTTTCGTTATTGCCTGAACTGAATTGCCAGATATCGGCACAAATCCGGGAGTTTCTGATCCTCTGGAGCAGGTGCCCGCTTACACATTCTGTCCCCTGGTCCTAAGCGCCTACCCGATTGTGTTTCTCGTAGAAAAATTGGTCTTGAATCCAAATCATGGGATCGGAATTGGTCGTAGTCCCTTGATCACGCTCCAGTGTTGTACTGTTTCCTGCGACTGGTGTTCTGTGAATGTATTGTCTTCTCCTTCAGGGCACTGATTCCTTGGTGAACGGATTCCATGACCTTTATCATATCGAAGTGCGGAAATCACGACGACCGTGGTCTATCTGTATCAAATTTTGTGTTTGTTGATCGTGGTTTTTTGTGCCTGCCCCGAGGGTAAGGCTCGCGTTGGGCAAGTGCTGATTCCACGACTTGCGTTGTTAGGTGAGCAGGAGCAATGGCGAAGTCTAAGAATCACACCGCTCACAATCAATCTTACAAGGCCCACAAGAATGGTATCAAGAAGCCCAAGAAGCAAAAATACGCTTCAAGGAAGGGCGTAAGTTTCAAGCTGAACTCCTGCTTTATGAAATACTGAATGTTGATAAAGTTTCTTTAGTGCGAGTTTCCGACGTCGAGTCGATGTGGTCACGGTTCAGAGATTTGGAGTTCTGATTTTGCATTTTAGTCAGGAGCGATGTCTCAAGAAACTGTCTTTCTGACCCAGTCTTGAATGTTAACGAGCACCTGAGATGACGGTTTTTATACAACCATGGAATTGATTGTACAGACTGTTTAGTAGCTAGGATGCAACATTCATTCCGACATTTCTATTTCACGGAAACCATCTGACATATGTTAGCTGCGTAGCTGAGAGTTGGTCCCCTAGCTCATAGCCGCCTTTATTCAGGATTCACTAATCATTATCACTTATACTTGTTTGCGGTGTTCGTTTTGGCTCAGATGGACCCTAAGTTCTTGAGGAACCAAAGGTATGCCAAGAAGCACAACAAGGTAGCTGGTGCAGAGGAGGCTTCTGAGTAAATGAACATGGTGTCGACATAGCAGAAATTTAGTCCAGCATTCACAATTTTCAGCTGCTTTGATCGTCTGATGTCCAACGTCTCACTATCAATGTATCAGTGGTGGTGTCATGGTAGTTCCCATGGTGGGATGTCGCACTCAAAGCAGTATACGATGATGTAATTTTTACACCACTTCCATGTGAAGTGAACCTATGTCCGGTGTTCTGTTAACCCAGACGAATTCGGGAATATCATTTTCGGTACGTTGACGCTTGATTCGTAACTAAGCTCGTCCATGATGATTCGGCTGTAATGTGAGTTTATTGGTGATCGTACTTTACAACTCTGTGGTTTGTACCTGTGTAAGTGTACGGTAAGTGTGAACTTGTGCGCGCTGAATTCTTGTCAGTACGATGATCTGTATACTACAACCTGTAGGATTTATCTCTGTTCATCTCTGTTCATCTCTTAAGTCCAATTCTTCTTGCATCCTCGAATTGCATCGCTGTTTGCTGACTAGAACGAATGTGAGATCGGATACGTAACGGCAGGATTTACGAATATGTAGATCCCTCGAAAACCGAAGACGATGTCTGGATTGTTTAGGTGGCTACGACATGTCTCCTGTTTGAACAGCAGTGTGCAATTGCAATGTTAGGAAGGCGTTCTTCACAATCTTTTACATTTTTCACTCTGTTAAGAGGACGGTATGTCCTAGATTGGAAGGCATGGAGTAGATCAGTTGTCGGGGAACCTCGAGAGAGAATATATGGAATAAACATGTGACTCGCTATCTTGGGCAGTGGACTGATCTTTACATGTTTAAGAGCTCCACGTGAGTTTGTGACGGCCATCTCCGAATATTCTTAGCCGCGGAGCAAGATTTTGATCCTAGGCGTACGGCGGTTGAACTATGAGGCGTAGAGTGTCAGACATGAATCAATTGAAGCTTCTCATCTACCTGACGTGGTTTCTGAAGGAGATCAACGTTGAGGCCAAACCTTAGGAATGTCTCTACTTGTAATAAGTATAGCCTACACAGTGAATTAGCTCGAAGTTGGGGAGCACACTCGCATAGTTTAGACGATGCTGAACTCCGCGAAATCTTGACTGATCTGAATGATATACAGGTGTTTCCGTGTCTGTGATGTAAACGAATGTTCTGGCAACCGATTATACATGAGATTCATTCAGGTTGACCTTCTGAGGAACAGGGTGATGCCCATACTAGAATTGTCAGCGACGTGTATCAGCGAATTATGTACATTTCAGTAGATTGTGGATCATTCTCTGGTTTATCTTGTCTGATGATACGCCACACGGGCTTGTTGCGTAGCACGTCCTGATATGTATTAGGTGAAATAGTGTACCGCCGGAGAATAGATGGTTTACACCACAGTAGAGAAGGTGCACCAGAGTTTAGACGTCTGCCTGGCAGTGTTTGACAAGATCAAGGATAATGACAAGCGCTCGATCAGCATCAAACGTAGTGCTCTATGCAGGCACTTGGTTTCGAACAGGGAGGAGGGCGGAAGTCCTACTTTACATAGAGGTACTTCACATCAGTATCTTCACGAACACGTTCGAAGCAGAATTAGCGTTCCGACCGTGGTCACTCAATTGCGCTTTGATGTACCGAGATGACTACGGGCATTTGTCTTGAATTCACGATTATCACGAAAACGGAGCTGCTTGGACTCTCGAGTCAAAAGACTTCAGCTCGGAAAAATTGAAGACGGTCTTCTTAACTGACCTTATATCTACTGATTACGAGAAGAAGAGAAATGGAGACGTTGTGGAAATGGTTGGAAGTATTACCGTAGTCTATTAATTACTCGGTAGGATGTGAAGAGAAAAATGGAAGGACATCATTCCTTGCGCTTTTTTCCTAAAACTGGGGACTCGATCTTACTCGCAATATTCACAATCATCTTTCGATGGGTTTTTACAACCGTGGAACTTCCCGAGGATATACTATACTATCTAAAGAATCGACCGTTACTACTAACAGTAACTGGTCAGTCTCGCTCTTCAATGCCACATCTACTCACGATTGCGTATATTTCAACGAAATATAAATATACAGTAGGTAATAGTCATTGAATTATTGGAGGAGTATGCAGATTGAAAATTTAAATATTTCCATCTAACTTCTTTCACATCATCGCTGCAAGCAGGTTACCACCTCCGTGTAAACACGGCGTGTAATCACGGGCTAGAACCAACAACAGCGTGAAACAACGCGCCCTCTCATCTTCGAAAGACTGAATCAATTGGACGGAGCAGATCTGATGCTGAATTACATATCTCCTAACAGAGCATACTGACTCGGTTGATGAGTGTCATTAACTACATGTGGACATTCACAGCTTCTCTTACCCCCTGGTTAACCGATCTACCTTCCACCCTAACTCTAATCTTGTTCTCTCATTATCCGAATATAGTGTAATGATGTCAGCATGGTAAAAGTCCACGAAAGGATAAGTGACCATCATACAGTAGTGCAGAGAGACATATGTCACCCAAAATAAAAGTAAGCATTATGGCACAAACTAAGTGAACTTAAAGCCGCATTGATAAAACCAAATTACCATGAACCATTGCAGTTCATTACACATATTTTCCTGATGTGACTCATTAAATTTCTCTTTATCCCATAGTGGTCCATTCACAACACATAAACGCTAAGTTCTAAAACGTGTTCCTGCACACATAATGCGAGCGGTAGTGGACTTTGGATTTCTCAAAGAAGATACTTTACTGCTTTGAGCGAACCAAAATAGTCACCGAACATGACTTCGGCTAAGGGTTTTAGAATAAAAAGGAGAGAAGTGTAAGTGAATAACGCCCTTATTTTATAACTATAAATTAATTATCGGACGTGAGAAATTCTGCTCTAGCATGATGAAGATTGGAATCCTATGGAAATTGTGACCAACTGAACTTCGGGGAGAAACTTTCATCCAAATGCTTTGTTTCCTAGCCCGGAAACAAATCACGTACAATAACTTGTAGTAGTTTATAGGTGACGGAGGACAAAAGTACCATCCGGTAAAATGAAAGGTATCGAGATCCATCAAGTAATTTTCTCGCGGAAGTGTGATGGGGTCTAACGGACGGCCATGCCAAAAGAATGTCTGAGGCTAGAACGCGGTGGAAGATTTTCTCTCAATTTCAAATGCCGCGAGCTCTGGCCGAAGAAGCTGTGCTCCAGTCATCAAATCGAAGCAAGATTGCCCCTCAATTCGGCCATTGCCTCCGTCATTTGGTCGCACTTCCTTATGGCAACCGCCAGCGCGATTAAAAAGTCTGCGATGATGTTTTTAGTGTAGATGGTGTGGATTGAAGAGGGGTTTCTCAGTCGACAAAACAAATAAAAGTGACCATCGAAACACAATATTCTGCAACCGCAGAGATGGTGGATTGAAACCAAATTTGGATGGCAATGAGTGGGAGAAGCAGTAGCAGAAACAAGCAAGGGAACTTGCAAGGAGAGGGAATTGGGCAGAAAGCAAGCGGAAGAGTCAAAGGACAAGAAATGGGACAACTTGCAAGATCAGATTGAAGGTGTAGTGAGGCATGATTCTCTCACTTGCAGAACGTTAACACTCGAATGAAGGCGCGAATGTTTGAAATTGGATTGTGGTGAACATTGAGCGCCTCGATTTCATAAGGCGAAATGTTATGCAGCCTATTGAACGCACATGCATGCTACGGGAAAGTTTGCTTCAGGAAAAATCCGAGCTGAAGCAAATATCAACTTGAGCAAATATTCGTTCGCTTAAGTTGCGAAGAAATAAAACTGTCCAGAGGGGCGAAGCGATCAAGCAGCATGGCTGCTTGAGGCTCGATTGGGTTAAAAATTTTGAGGTCGTGTTCAAAGATACATCATTAGAATATTGAGAGACGAGAGTACACTTACTATGACTGGGGTTTGGAGTGTCGGGGCGTTGATGTTGGGAATGAAGACAATCAGCAGATCGAGCAGATTATCTGAGAATGTGCAAACCAAATTGGTAACAAAAGTGGAAACTTAAACACATTACATTTACTCAATAAAAATGCCAATCAGAAGAAAGCGAGAAGACGTGGAGAGGAGCTGAATTCCATTCAACAACATACCAAGTGCATCGATGTAGTCATCCAGAAACAATCCAACATCAATGATACTGATATAGTATTGAAACTTCTTCTCACCTCCGCGTGCGATTTTCGCACTTCGAAATAAGTTTCATTTAATTTTTTCATGCAAATTTTGCTTCACTCATCTAACGTCTTAACTCAGCATTTATCATGTAATATTTGTAGTTATTCAGGTCTTCCCATTAAGCATATATCATGTAGGCTAGGGGTTTGTCTACTTCGAGTAATATTTCAACCCACCAACATCTACCAAGCATTAAACTTCTATCCTTCAAAGTAAGATACATTTTTTTGTCAACTAACCAAGCATCAAAACATACTCTTGTTGCCACTGTAAGATTCCGTATCTATCAAACGTCCAACTTTTCTCTCTTTTGTACCAAGATGTTCAAATTAACCAAGCATATACCATGTGAACTTGATCAACCAATCATCATTTTGTTTTGTCTCCCCTTTCCTCGTGAAGTTATATTTTCACCAAGTTCATCGTCTCTTCTTTCTGGCTCCGATCTCCAAATGAGGATGACGGAAGAGCTCTCGAATGCAATCTAGAGCTACTAAATACCTGAATGTGGTTGATTGCCAACCAGAAGAGAGGATCGATTTTGACAAATTTGAGAAGAAGAAAGGATATGAAAGGAATGTGGACGAAACGAAGAAACTTACCCCCACCGAGAATGTATAGTTGGAGTTCAGAACCAAAGGGAGACGAACAGCTCTCACATGCAAACCTAGCCCGAAGAAAGAGAAAGAATTAATCGCCAACATGAAGAGAGGAGTCAAAATTGCCATAGAGACTGAAGAAATGAAAATCCAGAAGAAAATTCTGAAAATGAGATTGAAAGAAAGTTATTGGATCAAGGTTACTTCGTGAAGAACATGTGATGTCATAGTCTCCAGCTGAGGAGGGTCGAGAGTGCAAGAAGAGACGATGAACTGGGTGCAATATTTCCCCATGAGGAGAATGCTGAGCTCGTCCGTCATCCCTTCGGGTCTGATCTCCGACAATCCTTTTGTGGTAGAGGGAAATCTCTTTATTTCCGCCACGTCTGCGCTTCGTATCGATGTTCGTATAGAGTTGATACACGTCTCTGGCAAGTTTGTTTCTGAAGTCCCAACATAATTCTCGAATTCTTGCTCTCTTTCACGTCTACAAGTTCTACTCGATCTTGTATGAGTGGAGGCAGTTCTCGTGTCCACAGTCCTACACAATCTGCTCGATCTGCTGAGGTCGATTCTTTGAACAACGTTGTCTTGATTCCCAACATCACCAACTGTCAGGGACTGTCTGGCCGACAATAACAAAACAGAGCAGCTTCGAGAGTGCCCAGAAGTAGGTTCGGTTAACCCAAAGAGGCTGCTAAAAGTTGAGTTGCGATGGAACGAGGCATGTTAAAATGCGCTATGTAGAGTCTTGCTCCCTGAGATACTTTGCAGGCATTCTCATCACGGTCATCTTTATGTGCGAGAAGTCAGGTCCATTCGAGAGCCCCAGAGTTTCGCTGTAATTATCACCTGGAAAACCACTCCAGCAAAATCAAGGAGAAAGCTTGACGACTACGGCTTGGTTAGAAGGCCGAAAGGTAGATTTAGACGAGTAGATGTCAACACGGGGAAGGTTCTGATTTTCTTGATCTGTATTATGGGAGACATGAAAAGCTAGAGAGTGTCTTCCTTGCGTTAAGCTTTTACACCCGAGCTGTCACGAGAGCCTTACGTTTACCAGCTGGAAACGGCTGACAGATGGAGAAGCGCAAGTATCCATCAGCAATTTTGAAAATTAATTGAGATGTGTGAGTTGTGACTGATATGAAGAAGGAAGGCCGTGGTCAATGTGCCTCCAAACCTTGTCGAATTCTAGAAACATGGAAAAGCACCTATGCATATCATATGTCGGAGTGGACAGTAACGCAAGCACCTGGCAGGACCAAAACTGCTCCCAAATGAAATTCACTGGGTCAGAAACAGAACTACGGAGTTGGACTATGATACAACTTCAAGAGGCTGAGAGTGACATTTCCAATTCTTTCTTAAGAGTGTCGGAAAGTTTTGTTTCTGTTATGGGCTCGAGGGATAATTGGATTGGTGGATGGTCGAGATATCTAATTGGCGAGTTGTCGAAGTTGGTTCAATTGGAACTCGATTCCAGTTCGACATTGTGCGACCATTGACCGTGCACCACTTGTTTTTGTTTTCAGGCTCGGTGGACGTCGTTGTCGAAACTGGTAGCCGTAGTTCTTAATAACTGTGCATGATCCTATCAGCTCTTGTTAAATGTGATTCTGGGCTTTCGGAGCGTCCAGAATTATGGGCTTAGATGCCTTAGGTGGATGGACGACTCCTCTTGTAATGAAATGCCTATGCGGGTTCTACGCTCGTTGTCTTTCAGATATTCCGATCCGCCTGAAATCGCTTCAGATTCTCAGTTTTGGCCGTCAATTGGTTCGATATCATAGTTCATTCTGAGGATTTATTTATTGCTGCGGGAAATTATCTCAACCCCTTTTAGAGGGTTTGACACATTGGCATATCCTGTTCGAACTTACGAAGCTTACCCTAAACTTCTTTTAGTCCTGGTATGTTGATGAGTATAACATTCATCTCCGTGATCTCCGTGATGACAGGATTGTCGAGCTGGGAAGAAACAAAATGGCCTTGTTTGCGTCTACCAGCCGTTAGTCTCTCTTTGAACTTATTTTGTTCGCCCTATGTTTTGCTGACACAGCTGCCAATGACTGTTCCTCTAAATCGGAGAGGAAACAGATATTTGAGATGAGATGAGATGAGATGAGATGCGATGCCTATGCTAGTTACTAGTTGTCGAGATTTTCATATACTTTCGGCAAAGTATGTTTTTTCTCCTTTCGACCGTATATAAAGGCTAAAGAGTTTGATCTTCATGCACCATCTTGCAGAGATCCAGGTATTTTTGTCGTTTAGAAAAATCTATGTAGCATGAAGTCTTTCGGTGCAACTTTGAGGCCAAACCTTGGGTTTAGTAGTAGAATGGTCAATGGACCGAATTCACTATTTCAACGACTACAGTCTAGAAGATGCTAAGCAGGACCCTGGTCCTGTTCATTTGGAAACAAATCATACGTTTTCGAGATAGAAACTTTATTTTTCTTCAAGGCCATGAATAAATATAAAAGCAGAATTTGTAGATGGTATCCAAGTCAAGTCCATAAAATCTGAAGTAAAAACTATGACTTTTGAAATTAAAGACTACGCCAAGAGTCATATCAATGAACCTTTCATTCTAGACAATTGTGGAACAAGCTTGTAGTTTTGCTTGAAATGTATACAAGCGTCGGGAGTGGAAGATAGTGAGGGAACAAGTAGACCACAGAGCTCGTTTTGCATCGGCACTAACTCTGGATCGCGAATGAAGAGGAGATGAGTACTACCCGGTAATCCACCACGGGTCCATCAAAGAACGCTGTGGTTCAGACTCAAGGCAGCGAGAACGAGAGTCGTGGTCGCAGCGTGTCGTGTGCGGAGAGCATGCAGACAGCTACCTTCCGATCGCACAGCAGGTCTGGCGCAGCCACGCAGTCAAATCCTTCTGCTCGTTCGTAATTGTCGTCATATGAATCTTGGTATGAATTTTCGCCACCTTTCCTCTCGTGCGATCTCCTGAATTAGAATATCGAAATTCTGCTGTTTTCTGAGTGGCGCTGTCGAGAATTGTTTCATTCTGTGTGTGTTCTCGGCAATTCGAGTATCTTCCGGGAACTGACTGCCATAGTGTTGAATCTTCGAGCATATCTTATTCAAGGAACTGGAGCTAGTACCAAGAGGTTTCATCATTTCAGCTTTGTAGTTTCTTAATAGAACGGAGAGTATCGTTGTGGTCAGGCCAGAGCAGCCGCTGTTGCCGGTTATGAGTTTGAAGCCAAAAGAAACTACCAAGCGCGGAACGTAGCTCTTGTATTCTGTTATTTGTGCTATCTGCTTTAGGGGATGATGATTATGATGTGCTAGAGGAGCCAGAGTGCGCGAGTTGTTAATGTTCGTCGACACTAAGATATTTTGCCATTTTCCGCAATGGTCAGCATTTAATTCTCGTATTTGGTGGCTATTTCCATGGCGTCGGTTGGTTTCTCTCACATCTAGATTTTTCTAGCAACTGACAATTTCACGACAGATTTGCGTAAAATGTTAAAACATATATCTGTTTAGACTCTGCGTGCTAAAGTCTCAATTCGAACGATACAGTGCGCTAGATCTGGACAGCTTTTTGTCGCGGTTGGAGTTTCATCTAGGGCTACCCTGTGAGTGGTGAATGGGGTCCGCGGGTGTGGTCTTGACGGAGACGGCCTTCAATATGGAGTCGTCAGCTGCTTCGGATGTATCTTACCGGGCAGTGGTTTTAGGAGGAACCTTTGATCGGCTTCATGATGGTCATCGTCTTCTTCTCAAGGTTTTTGACCACCTTTGAGTGCTCAGCTATGATTGAACAGTCAGCTTTGGGTCTTAAACATTAGCAATCAAGAGGTCTGAAAAGAGCTGTATTCACATCTGTGGTTCTTCTTCAATTAAAACGAGGTGTCTCGGTTGGTCATTTGTATTCGACTTGCTGTTTTTTCATTCAGGCCGCTGCAGAGATTGCAGAAGAGCGTGTTGTTGTTGGAATCAGTGACGGGCCCATGCTCGCAAAGAAAGAGGTCAGGTTCCTTGTGAATATATTTGACCCTTGTAGTCCCCGACTTCAGTTTATACACACAGTCTGAGGAAGTCTTGTCTATCTAAGAAATGAAGAGCCGAATGAAGAAGGATTCACGTTCAACAGCACTGACTATAGATTTTTCATATACCAGAAGAAGTACGGGATGCTTATTGGGTAATTGCTCTTGACAGCTGAAACACATGATACAACCAATTGCAGTGAGAAAGAAGGCAGTTGAAGATTACATCAAGGTCGGACTTTTGTGCTATTTTCGCTTTCATTCCCAAAAATGTCTTCACCATAGCAACATAGTGCTTCGCTAATGACGAACTTCCTAATGTGTGCTCTCGTGCAATGGGTGCAATGGGTGGCTCGGAACAGTCCATAAATCCAGCTCTAGAAGTTCAGACGGAGACCATATTCGATCCTTTTGGACCTTCGATCGTGGATAAAGACCTCACCGCCATTGTTGTAAGGTTGTACAACCCTTCCCTCTTCGAAAATTAAGTTAATTTGATACACATCTTCTAAATCAGATACCAAGTGGAGAGAATGATTATATCAGATATGCAGGTAAGACAAAGTTAAGCACATACGAAATCATAGCATGTCATATTCATAACAAAAGGCGCTCTGTATGTGAACTATCTCAATTTTCCATATCATGTTTTCTAGGGTCAGTAGGAACCTGAGAGTTTGATGGAATGTTGTACCTTCACTTTCACACATCGGTTCTAGAATATTCAAGCTTTCTCATGAAAACTTGAGTTCAAACCTCAGATAGTTTGCTTTTGTATATACGAAACGAAAGTTCTGAACTTTATAAAGTAGACAATGATGACAAACTGCCATGAACCACATATCTCAAGATGTTTTTCTAATCCAGTATAGAGTTTCTATGAGAAAGGATGTCAAGCCACCGATAAAACCTGAATGCAGTTAGTCCGATATCTACCCTGATCTCGGTGAGGAGAAGCAACAGTCGTCTTATGGCTTCAAATTGTTGCTTTCATGTTTATAACAATTGTCCTTGTGCATCAAGAAGAGCCTAATCGCCAAACTGTTGTTTTAATTCATGCTCTTGTAATACTGGGATTGAACAGTAAGGAGACAGTTGCTGGTGCAGACGCGGTCAACCAAAAACGAAAAGAGAGAGGCCTGTCAAGGTTGCAGGTACATGCCATTCGTAGATTGCAAGTGGTTTTTGAGTTTAAATATGATTCTATGATCTTCCTTGTCAATGAGACAACGTTTCGCTGCCAGTAGTCAATCGAATATCTCTGAAGATTGAAACAGAAGAACTCCATGAAAGTATGTCATTAACGAATCCGTTTAGAATGGATTTGCATTCTGATTGAGATGGAATGTCGTTAGATTGTGTGTGCTCCGTAGTTTTACGACGCTTGCGGCTGACCTTGATGCTGTTTATGCCTCTCTTCCCAAACCTCAGAGTTTGAAGCTTTCTTTTGTGATCACAAATTACGTCTCACCTTTCAAGGATCGATTGTGCTAATAATTTTTGCTGAAAAACAGGTGATTGTGGTGGATTTGGTGGTTGACAAAGACGGCTTTGGGGAAGAGAAATTGAGCTCGACGGAGATACGAAAGAGGGAAGTTGGTCTGTGATATACTCATCGTCAGGAATTCCTGTTTCGTATGGTTGAAATGAGATGAGGTGAAACATTGAATGTACTCAATATGCATTAGAGAGGTTGAGTACATTCTTCTGATAAGGTGACTTGAGCACCAACTCCAGCTAAGATTCCTACCGTAGATGTTTAATTTCATCTGTTTCCAACCCCAGATCCATGTTCACCTCTTCACAAGTGTGAAGTACAATTTTACGAGAAACTAAAATTTGAAGACGTGTGTGTCTACTACTTGATAGGCTTTAGCAGGGGGGAGTCTAAGTTGTAACACTGATAAGGATCTATCTCATCCGTATCTGGACAACGATGGAGCACGTCACATGAGAACTGGGAACGGGCTCAGCAGAGCCCACGGCGCTGGGCAACTGGACAGAAGGTCTAGAAAACAGTCAAGCGGTGTATCTTAATAGTGCCAAGAGAACAAGAACTCGGAAGAACAACTCTGCTAGCTAGACTTGATGTACTCAAGGAGAGAAGTATTCTTATATGAAGAACGCATGGTCTAAGAAGCCATCAGATACTGGTAATTAAAAGTATTAGCTGTTACTTTATCTGGATGTCGACACGTCGCTTTCACCAGCAACTGAACAGGTGGAAGAGAAGATAAGTGATTTACACCGTGTTCTTTGCTAGTCTAGGGTAATATCGTTGGACGAACATGGTCCTGGTCTGGCAGCTGTTCTTTATTAACTTTTTTAATTAAAACACTTTGGTGTACGGCGCTATGTTTATTCAATTGTGTGTTGTTTGGTTCAATACCTTTTGCAGTTTCCAAATACTAATAACTCTAGTTTCGTTGGGCTCGTGAAGATCTTAAAAAACGGAAACTTATGCACATCAACCTATGCAGAATTCAAATATTCAGAATCTATTCGAGATTCTATCTGGAGCGAAGGCCCTGTATAGATATCACGCAACACCTAATATGTAAAGTACAAAAACCCGTAGTAGGTATCGAAAGCCAAAAGCAGAGAGTCATTATTTCTCTCTTTTAACTATCTATGATTTAGATCAGGATATAAATGGTAGCCTTGATTGGAATGAGCGATCCATATCAAGAAAATTGCGTGGCTGCAAAGGTTTGTCTCTCTATCTGCAAACCAACTTGTGGGTGTAGAGGTAGTTTACCTTTCGACCATCACATTCCCGGTTACCTTGTGTACCCTTTGATCTGGTCATATAAAAGAACTTTGAAATTGAATATCGATTGACCTTTGCTGCAATGGGTGGCATCAATGTCCCCAATCCACCCTCTCATAACGGATGATGGGTTTCTTGAGAGTATAGGTATCGTGAAGGGGTATTATAGGAGACAGCAATTAAAACAGGATGATGTTTCTTTGAATGCAACTAATTTTGTAGAATGATGAAGATATGTCACGTGATGGAATATATACACTGACCAAAATAATCTCATTACATGATGATGCGTTGTTGTTGGTATAAAGATTTGTCAGTTGATGGAGTATATCTTGACCAAATAATCTTATTTCATGATGCAGGACTTCATTAAAATAATAATGTCTAGCTATTAATTACTTTTTGACTCATTGAAGTGTATTCCCATCCTTTATGCTATATACTTGCGTCCGTGCCCCCATCGTATGAATTTAAGCATTGTCGAAGGAGATTGAGAAGATTCTTCACGTTGAAGCTAAACAAACATTTCTTAACACCTGATGTGAACGGGGCTTTCGTTCGGACTCCGAAAGATGAACCACTGATGAACACAAATGCTGAACCAATCCTTTACCTCTTCCTCCTCCTATTTTCAACTTGATATGAAGGACAAAATAGAATTCGGTGATTCTTATTCATCAAAGACCTGTTATTACATATGCCAAGTCTGGTAGAAACTCGACATATTCTTTCGACTTCCTCAGAGTTGATTATGCCTATCAGTCGTACTCCTTTCTTTGACCACCATTCTTAACAGGCACCAATCCATACGTCAAGTTAGCTACAAGCTTCCATCACTTGCCTCACCCTGCATTGTAACAATGGTTAGAAAGATGCCTTTTGATTTATAGTAGAATTCAGTCTGATACTTTGATTAGCTTACAGCAGCTGGATATTCAGCAATTCCCTTCGTGGTAGGGACGAGGGAAAGTTGTGCGGCTCACTTTTCCCTGACTCTCTGGTTTCAGAGCGCAGACGGGGCAGACCCAAACAACCCCTTTCTGCTTTCGCATCAGAAATAATTCCCTACTTTTTAAATCCTCGGTGGTTGACTCTGGCTCTTGTCTCCACCATACTGCATATCCATGCCCTCAAACGGGCACGACGCAGATCCCTCTCTGTTCCGACTGCTCCTCGTGCGCCAGCGATCTCGATCATCTCGATCAGATGTGATCGCCCATCAATGTCCACACCTCAACTTTCTAATCGTAGACTACCACTGTCTGGTGACTTTGGCCTCTTGTTACCCCCTTCCCTTTCCCTCCCCTCCCCTCCCCTCCCCTCTCGCTCTGCTCTGCTCTGCTCTGCTCTGGTGCTCGGACGAGTTCGGAGACGACGACAAGACAAGAAAGTCAAGTCGGTCGTTCGTTGAGAGGGGAGGGGTGGCGAGGGGTGGGGCGGAGTGGGGGCAATTCTGTTCTGTTAGGACGCAAGACCGGGGTTGGGAGTTTATATGACTGGACTGGCCTGCAGACGATTGGATTTGTTGGTTTGGTTGGTTGGTTGGTTGGCGTGGATTCGATGCTGGGACAGAGAAGATCCAAATGAGGCGCAGGCCTGGGAGGGCAGCCCTCCGCAGGTGGTGGTGTTGCTCCGCGAACAAGCTCTGGAGCGCGGGAGGGCTGCTGCTCTGTGGCGTGCTGTTTCTGTACCTGAGTTTCGGATGGGCGACCGCCGAGCATCGATGGAGTCCCGCGCAGAAGATCAAGAGAATGAATGTGAGTCCGGTAGAAAGTGAGTGCTTGCGTAGGCGTAGGCGTTGCTTGCTGTCGTGGGATTCAGAGTCTGATGACGCCTCTTGCAGGGAACGTTCTCGTCGAGCAAGGTGCTGTTGCAAAGCGAGAATGTCGAGGAAAGCTCGAAGACGGAGTGGATCACCAGGCAATTGAACGATCAGATGACGCTGGCCAAGTGGTTCATTGTCATAGCGCAGGAGAATAACAATGTGAAGTTGGCCTGGGAGCTCAGCGCCGTCATTCGCTCGTGTCAGCAGTTTCTGTCCGGGACGGCCACTCGAGGGGGTGCGCTGCTCGAGTCCGAGGCGGAGCCGATCCTTGCAAGGCTCTCGGCTCTGATTGCCAGCGCCACGGAGCACAACTACGACAGCGCCACTTTGATCATGAAGCTGAAAGCCAAACTTCAATCCTTGGATGTGCAGGCCACCGTCGCGTCGGAACAGAGCGTGACCTTCGGCCAGGCTGCAGCCGAAGCCATGCCCAAAAGCCTCCATTGCCTGGGCTTGAAATTAACTTATGTCTACGGCACGGATCGCTCCGTGAGAGATTTAGCCGGCCAAAAGTTGCACCTGTCGAAATTCACGGACAACTCCTTTTACCACTTCTGCATCTTCTCTGATAACGTGCTGGCCGTGTCCGTGGTCATGAACTCGACTGTGATCAATGCCGTGAGACCTGACGAGCTGATTTTCCACATTGTCACTGACCAAGTCAACTACGGCGCCATGGAGGTGTGGCTGGGCATGAATGACTTTCGGGGTGCTTCGTACGTGGTGCAGAGAATCGAGGACTTCACCTGGTTGAATGCGTCCTATGTGCCTGTGATGAAGCAGCTGGAGAGCTCCGAGTCACAGAGCTACTACTTCAAGGGCAACGAGCAGGAAGCCGCGGCCGTGAATTCGCGGGCCTTGAAATTCCGCAACCCCAAGTACCTGTCGATGCTCAACCATCTGCGATTCTACATCCCGGAGATTTTCCCCGAACTAAACCAGGTGATCTTTCTGGACGACGATGTGATTGTACAGAAGGATCTGACGCCGCTCTTCTCCCTGGATCTGCACGGAAATGTCAACGGTGCGGTGGAGACTTGCCTCGAGACCTTCCACCGATTCCACAAGTATTTGAATTTCTCTCATCCTCAAATCAGGTCACACTTTGATCCAGAAGCGTGTGGGTGGGCCTTCGGCATGAATGTTTTCGATCTTCTGGCTTGGAAACGGGCGAATGTCACCGAACGCTATCATTACTGGCAAGAGGCAAATGCGGATCGAACCTTGTGGAAACTAGGCACCTTGCCCGCAGGCCTTCTCGCTTTCTATGGACTTATCGAGCCACTGGACCGGTCCTGGCACATTTTGGGGTTGGGCTATGACCCCAACGTCGACAGCAAGCTGATTGAGAGCGCGGCAGTGATTCATTACAATGGAAACATGAAACCATGGCTCAAGTTGGCCATGAGTAGATACAAGCCCTATTGGGACGCGTATGTAAATTTTGATCATCCAATTCTACAGGAGTGTAACTTTCAGTGACGGAGTTGATCACCACCATCGTGGCCCCCACTGCTGCCTGTGTCGAGTTTTGATTTCGTGAGCTTGACTACTCTCGCAGGAGACTCGGACTCTTTCTGCAGCATTCCACAGGTCATTGCCCCATCCGTCTCCAGATGCCGTCCAGTTTCTATTCGTGAGCCACTCGGATTTCCCTACGCCCTGCGTTTTCTCTCCGACTCTCTCCAACCGCGTCGTCCATCGTTCATTTGCATCCTTGATCCTTTGGCAGTAAACGCCCAGCTCTCGAAGCACAGCTGAATTATCGGTGTAGTGTGTTGCTACTTACGTCGAAGCTTCGGATAACTCTGAGCGAGTCGCAGAGGTTTATGGTTTAATGACACTGGACACTCGACACTGGACCAAGCCAAAGCTGTGTAGCTAGCTGGGCATGGGCGAGAGCCAGCAGCACCCTCAGGGTTTAACTTGTGGTGAACTAGTCCGAGTTTTTCACCCGAATTGTGAACGTGCGATCATATGCGAATCGTGGAGGTCAACGCGTTTGTACGAAGCACGCCGATCAAGGCCTAAACAATACTTTTTCGTATGTGGCAAACAAAGGTCAGCGAGTGAACTGCCACCGTCACCGTTCGGTCGAACTTCATCTCGTTTTTACCCTGCAGACCCGTGCGCAATGATTAGTGATGTATCTCCACATCCATCATCTCTCTTTCCTTCAAGCATCGGCCCGTGCATCACTGTGCATCGCAACTCGCTCACCAGTTTCAACCCGAAACTACGAGAAAGCTCAGCCAACTGGGAACACACTTTGATTTCTTTGTGTACTCATCGAGTGCTAACCTCGACCAAATGTGTTGACCGAGATGACCGAAATACCGACAGTCTGCAACTCCACTGCGACCTTCATACACCTTTGCTGGCCTACAAAGGCATTTGAGGATCATCGTCACCACCGTAGTCTGCCCGGAGCCATCGTCAATCTTTAAAGAAGGTCTTCATGAATCCAGCTCGAGTCTTTGAGAGAGAGACGGACGAGGCAAAATACATATCTACGAGGACTCGGCAGTCAAGTTCTAAACTTACATCTCCACTGAATTTCGTCAATTTGCAGTAGTCCGCGGACTTTGGGAGAGATCCAAAAGCATCAATGTCTTTTGCTGAAGATTATGCAGGATTAAGAGGCGTGTTTTTGTGTAGCATTTGGGTTCTTCGACGATTCTTCCGTGTCTCTCGTCTGCCAAACACGAAGACAGATTGAAGGCCACAGTCACAGCACGATCTAGGGCCTTGACTTCACAGTTCCAACGCAACAACGCAGCAATGCCTGGCACTGAAGAAACTGCCTTCTTCCAAGGCCTCCTCAAGGCAGCGCACCTAACAAACAGCGTCATACTCAGCGTGGATCATGGCTGAGCTTGCCCATGGCCTGCATAAAATTCGCCCAATCTCTCATCCGTGACTCAGAAAACTGTGGTCATGTACATCGGGTAGACTATGCCTTGCCACCTCTTAGCGGACTTGGGGATCTGCAAATCTTTCCAGTCGGTTTCCAGAATAGAAGATAATGTTTCAGGAAAGAAGGCAAACGCTTCCCTTGCAAACATGGCATAGGGCTGGGGTCGGCCAACTGGATGGACTAAAATGCAAACATGACCATATATTCGATAGTGGGGGAAAGCGAGACACCATCAAAAGAAGCAGAGAGTACATGCGCATGCCCTCTTACTTGCCCCAACTTCACTGAAATCAGATCCGTCACGGTGACCCGCTGGAACATCGTTCAGATGGTTCACCGACGCGAACTATGCTTCGGCCATCGAATGCAAAAGCATTTGTTGCAACTACACCTTCGCACCGAATGTCAGCCTTCATCTGTCGATGGTTTCGAGCATGTCTCGACCGGGGAAGACAAAAGAATTCTTACACTAATACACATGATTCCATATACTATCACTGATCATCCTCGCGTCTATACTTGGCTTATTTGTGGGCAGACCTCGTAAACATTCACCGATCATTATATGTCAGTACAGGTACTGACATAGGGCATTCACCGCTTTGCACTGCTCTGAGGTCAAGGACGGGCAGCACGACGGACGACATTTGACTTGAAATCAACGAGGTTGACATGGTTTGATTCCGCTTCATACAAAAGTGTATACGCTGTACACTTGGGACTTGGTTGCTTCCAATGATTGGCAACGAGGAAACCTTCGTTGGGACATTCAAAACGTACCCATACGGCGAATATTAGTTGACTCGAGTCTTGATGTTTCGCTGATTCTTGTACAAGAAGTGCAGTCCAGGCCATGTAACTAGTGGGCTCGAGTTCACTGCGGCACTTCAATGCTGTCCTCTGTCGGCATCACAATCCTTGCCCGTGTTGCTGCTCGCTGTGGCTCCCGGCGAAGGTGAAGGGTGCTCCTCTCGACTCATGGCAGTGAGTGGTGGCAGCAGCAGCCCACTGCTCCGAAGAGTGAATCGACTGCTTCACGCATGGACGATCCTTGCGTGATCGTGTGGGCGCAATCGGTGGATGGCTATAGGCTCCAGCCGCTCGAAGAACTGGAGGAACTGGAGGAGGTTCTCGAGAGCTTTTTTTTGGATTTGGGAGACGAGGCTTTGGGCTTGGCCGGGCGTCGTGCCGGAGAGGACGATGCGCCTGCGGACGCTTTGCTCAAAATCACAGGCTTCAGAGAATAGGGAGTGGGTTTTCTCTGGGGAGTGGCCAGCCGTGCACGCCCTGGCTTCGCGAGCTTGGCATGCGCAGGAGTCACTGGGACCTGGCTCCGATGGCCTCCTTCGGCGAGCTGCGCTCGAAGCACTTGAGTTTTCGTGGGCACCCAGTGGTGCGCCGTGGACAGGCTCATGCTGGGGCTGTGCTCTCGCAGCGAGCTGCCGGCAGATTTGAAACACTGCACGAGGCCAGATACGAGGGACTGCAATCTGTGCGGCACGTCGACGGCCAGCCCGTGCCATGCCGGAGCGGGCTGCGCGGCTTCTTCCACACTGCGCGACGCCGCAGGGCTGCACTTCATGCCGAGCAATCGCCGCGACGCATCCGCCTCGATGATCATTTCCCTCTTCACGTTCTCGATGGGGCGGTCTCGCTGAATGGACATGGCCGTGGCCGACGAGTAGGCCTTGGCTGACAACACCCATAGCCTCAAATCGCCTTCCACCGCTTCCACGGCGTCGGCCTTCCGGTCCTGGACTTTGCTGGGCACTCCTCCTCCTCCTCCTCCTCCTGCTCCGCCTACAGGCGAGCCTTGAATGTCCTCAATCTGCGCACTCATTGCCTCGAAGTTGTCAGGCTGCAGGCGGTGCAGCACATCATTGCTGCCGCCCCAGAGCCGAGCCACGTGATACGGGAGCCGATTGCGCGCATCCAGCAGCATCCGGTTGGCATGGCGTCGGACCAGCGTGTGGATCATGAGCGGATTGATGGTTTGCGCCGCGTAATGCAGAGCAGTCATGCCCTCCTTATCGGGAGGGTTGATCTTGGCGCCTCGGTTCAGCAGCATTTTGGCAATGTCGACTCGGCCCTCCATCGCTGCCAAGTGCAGCGCTGTGCAGCCATGAGCATCCGCCAAGTTCACTCCCTTGCCCTTGCCGATGAGTTTGAGAATCGTGTGCGTGGTGTCGCGGTTGCCAAATACCACGGCCCAGTGCAGCGCCGATCGGCCGAGGCGATCCCCGACACTGGGCCCGGCGCCGCCTCGGATCAGCTTTCTCACCGTCGGCAGGTCGTTGTCCATTATGGCCAGATGCAATCTTCGCACGCTGTCGTCGTACGACATCTGAGTCGATGGCGATGGCGATGGGTTCACAGGCTCCATCTCAGCCCACTACCACGCCGAGAATGTCAACCTTCTCAACCTTCTCTCGAGCTTCGTCGTCCATGGTCTTGCAGGCCGAAGCAGAGCAGAGCCAAGCGAGCGGTGCTAAGATGTGCTGCGCCAGATGACTGCTCTCACGAAGCAGCAGCGACTCTGACGAACCCGGCGGCTCCAGTCCACTGTCCATCGATGTAAGAATGGTCTGGGCTTGTGTCAGGAAGGCGGAATTCGGCTGTCTCCGCAGATGCATCTCAGCGAAGCGAGATGAGGACGGGCGAGAGGTAATGGATGCCAGTGGGAACAGGGCATTTCGTTCGGACATTTCACATCTTGGACAATTCGCACCCCCCTGCAAGAAGTGGAGGTGGGTCGAATCCGCCGAGACAGACGAAAGCAGGTGTCCCGAGATTCGTGTGTGGGGTAGCAATGGTTCTCTCAGTCACAAAGTCCGAAAGTGATTATTGAGGTTCATCTCGTGTACCGGAAAATTTACCAATTCGTTTCTCTAGGAAGCCTCGAGTCCTCCTGGTCCTAAAGGTCCTCTTGTGAATGCCGTGGCGCACCGTCGAAGAAGAGATGCGATAATTCACGTCCGCGTGTGGGGATTCAAGCAATGCGAGAGCAACTTTCACAGAATATTGCGCACCTTCGTACTCACTGACTCGTTACCTGCCGAGCCTTGTGCAATTGCTCTCAGGCTCCGGTAGAGAAGGGAGTGATGTTTGTCACAGCTTGCGGCCCTTGGAAGCCAGTAGAGAACCAATTCCTAAGTCAGTCTGCTAACTGCACGACATGAACGTCCGCAATCTCCGTGAGAATGCACGACGGTAGAAAGGCACATGAAGCCCTGAGGTGAAAATGCGAGCAAACTATGCGCAGGTGTTCGAATGAAATGGCTGCCGTGGCGTGAACTCGTCACGCCAGGGAGCCGAGGGTAGTGACGAGACCGAGGGGTTTATCCCTCTGGCACCACGCTGATGGAAGAGACACGATGGAGGGGCGCACATCTCTGAAAAGGTTTGCTCAGCAACCGTATCTTTCGGACGAACAAATCGCCCTTCTTCAAGCCAAGAAAGAAGTGAAAGCGCAAATCCTGCATTTCCTTGCGCTGTCCAGAGAAAGAAGAGTAGCTCTTCGGTTCACAGACTCGAATGAAAGTCCAGAATTATTTTCAAATCTGCTGTACAAATATCGGACGTCACAGAAACACCGATTTCGTAATTCGAAGAAGCAACCCAGCTCCTACACGAATCGATCGAGAGGCATGCTCGTGTGCATGAGCTGATCAGATGCGCAACTTACAGACCAAAGTCTAGTGAACACATAAATCTTCGAGTTGCCCACTTGCAGCATCTCGAGACCTGGGTCTCGCAGCCTGCTGGGTGAGTAACTAGATGCCCACATTCAGCAAAGGGTAGCAATCGAAGCATGACAGACCCATGAACCAATCTTATCTTACAAATCTCAATTTCACGGCACGAGAACGAGCTTTTCACGACGATGAACGAGCCTCCGTCTGCAGACGGGGTATGCGACTTAACCCAGGCTTAACCCAGACTTAACCGTGGACCCACCATGTCGAAGAGCAGTGACACCTGGCACGACGAGGAACACAACCACCCCATCGTCGCAACATCCTTCAGAGTTCCACAGGGATGCTTCTGTTGCACGCAGACGGATGTACGTTCATAGCTGGGGAGGAGTTAATTGGAGCCGCGCATATTTCTTTGATGCCATCGGTACCCATCCCCATGTTTCATCCATGTACGACTTGATGGGTCTTCCCATTTTAGTTTTTACATTACTTTGTTCTTGGTTCCTAGCATAGCTTACGTGATAATACTTGGCCGAGAACTATCTCCCTCTCTCCGCGTGTGCACTAGCTTTATCTCGAACACCATTTTTGTAAGAAAACCTTTAATGATACTATCTCGAAATCATGCAATTTTATTAAATCATTTTTTTAAGTAGAATATGTGTTATATTGACAGGTTTGATCATTTTCGAAAAATGAAACTCATGAGGAGGATATATATTGTTAAAATAAAATAATTAAATTAATAGCATGAATATATTATAAAACTCCAGAAATAGACTAATATATATAATATCGAAATTATGCAACATGATATACATACATTTTTTTTTAGAGTAGAACGCGTGTGTAATTGATAGGTTTGAACATTTTCCAAAATAAAGAGTCTTGCGGAGGTTGTAGAATATTTCCGTATCTAATTTAATTAATAACTTGAATAGATATCTTAAAATTATAAAATTTCTAAGATAGACTAAATTTTATTCTAAAGAGTCAAAAAATTGGCTTTTGCATATGTTCTCATATGTGTTGTCATATATTTGATGGTTATCCTCAATCCCACATAGAAAAATTATAGGAGGTTTTAATCCATGCAAGATAGTATCACACTAAGATAAGTCCCGAAGATAATTGAATTTAGCAAATGTTTAACCTCGTATATTTTTTTTAAATCATTATCAATTCCTATTGCAAAAGAATGAAATAATCTCACCAAGGTGAAATATGAATCAAACAAATGAAAACATGATGGTAGATACTCATACCATCATCATATGAAGTACATGATACAGCAACCAAAATTTCCAAATTATGTGGGACAAAAAATAAATAAAGAGCATACAAAATACAATCAACAAAGATGTGTTTAGTATGATTCTTTGTAGGGTTTCATCTTTTCTATCTACAAATTCATTTGTAACTATGAAGGAAGATTTTGGTATTTTGAAAAAGATTATGCAAAATCTTCTCATATTTTACGCCATATGAATAACTTTTTATGATATATTATGTACTTCAAATTAGAAAAAACGTTTCTACTGCCTTACCAATAGAATTTGCTAGTGCAATTATCATAAGCTTCATCACATGTTTTGTTGTTTATATTTCTTTGAATTTTCATAGCTTGTTTAATGTAATTTCTTTACAAAGTATTTCATTTAGTATGAAGGGCAGACTTCTACAACTTAACCTCTTACACGCTCTGCTATCGTCGGTCCTAGTCCGCGCCGTATGTCCTAAGATTATCGTAGAAGCTTTTTCTCGAGATTAACTCAATTTAGCTTTTCTTTTTTACTTCAATTTATAGGTACTACTCTTCTTCATCATGTTATTATTGGACAATGGCGCACAGTTTCAGCCTTTCGACCGTACTCTGGAGTGTTTAACGCGTTTAGCTCAGTGCCTGCTAGTCTCTGGTTTTCCATTAGTGTATGACGTGATGAAACTTTTCCAATATTTTTGCAATTCTGTTCATCTCTTAGTCTAATATTCATGAAAACCTACAATAGTAGGTTTATGCTCTTTGCAAAGATAAAGAATAGTACTATTAACAATAAAGTACATAAGAAAAATAAAGAAACTGATAACTTTATCATATGGTATGATACCACATTGATGCTCTTTTATAAACATGTAATTTTTCCATGAATTTATTGTTTCAGATTAGTTAGGGATCGTAATAGAAGATTATATAAAATCTTAATTATAACTGTGGATATCTTACAAAAGCAAACTGATTTGTGCAGTACATTCTTTTGGAATCTAACATTGAACTCATATGCGTGTAAAATCGTGGATCTGAATGACTTTCCTACAGTTTCTTTGTCCACATTATGTACTCTTCTTCTACATAAAGATGAGGAATATTGTCCTAAGATACCAATCCTTTCATTGTAAGACATTCCAGATCCCCAAGATAAAGCTTGGTAGCCAAGTAATCACAAATAGTCTAAAATGAATCGTGAGATTTTCTCTATGTATCACTTGTTAAAGAGAAGAATTCACGACTTGACAGTCAGTGCAATGGAGAAAAATACTCATTGTAGAGCTATTATGTCCATTGAAGGATAAACAATAAAGTTCTCTAAAGAATGCTATTGTATATATTGTTGAGATTCCATGTCGTGAGAATAGAAAGCCATATTTTTTTAGTATAAAAGAATGAGGGTCCAGAATAGTCCACCATAGTGTCTAGCCTATCTGAAGATGTAAGATTTTTATAGACACAACGCCTTACAACGGGACTCTAATAATATCCACATCAAGACAAGTTAATGATTCATATAACTTGCTATAAGTTCGTGTGGCAACCGCAAACTGTTTTGGTCAAAGATGCTAGAAGTTATACAAGAAATATTATATAATGTTCATCCAAGATAATCACTAAAACATCAACAACTTATTTATTGCTCAATCTTAGCGGGGTTTGTACATTTGCCAAGACGCAGTTCTTGAATACAATGGGAAAGAGGTTGACTAGGTATTCTCACCCTTTTTTCGCATTATTACTCGGCCCCTTTCAATTCTTGAATCCCAAGGAGAATAATCCCAACGCCTCACTTCGTGGACCGAAGTGCTGAGCACACCGCAGGCACGATACGGTACAGTGGCGGATAGTTTAGGGGGTATTTTGGTGACAAAGTTACGACCGTGGTCCGATTTATCCACAGTATACTGCCCCGGGGAGTGGGTCCCGAACTCTCCCCCAAGCCAAGCCACCGAAGCCCTGGACCTGCTTCGCGAGTCGCGGTTCTGGCCGACCACAGTTAGGGAGGCCCCACAAAGGGCGGAGAAGATACAAGTTTGCAAACCACAGCACCGGCGAAAGAGTTGAAGTCCATGGACTACGTCGGACGCTCCACTTGAATGGTCGACTACGTCCCAGCGTTCGAGAGGATAACCCGCTGGATCGATCGATCCGTAAGGGATCACGATGGAGTCGGGGCTGGATGGCTCGACGGCGTGTGCGCACGTGGAATCGCGGATGGATGGAAACCGGTAGGGTAAGGCTGAAGAACAGGCGACGTGTCCAGCCGCGGGCTCCACAGCAAGTCGGGACGGGCGGGCTGGCGGGGGTCGCGATCAGCGGGCCAGTGGGAATGGCGGAGTCGCGCGCCTCCGTCCAGCCGGCGGGGGCGCGGTCGGATCGTCGGAGACGTTTGTGAGGAGAAGAGGCAGCAGATGATGATCGTGGTAGAGGAGACGGGCCCTGTGTAGTAGAGGCACCGCAAGCGGAGGGAGGGAGGGAGGGAGGGAGGAAGGAAGGAGCTGGTGGTGCGTGCCTGACTTTCCTTAGAAGCCAGGCCTCCTTCTTCGTCCAATGTCGCACGGGGTGGGTTTTCTCAGGGCCAGCTCGGCAGTTCTTCACTCTCTTGCGCTCAACCCTTCGAGTCTGCTGCTGCGGGGCAGAATCGCCAGGCCGAGCTTGCGCATTTGTCCTGTTTCCGCATCGCTTTTCGCCGTGCGCTGCTCCGGCTCAGGTATCGACACTGCTCTCAACTATACCGGCTTCGCAATTTCCAGCTGTGGGCGGAAGAATTTGCGCAGCCTCTATCGATTTCTGCTGCTGCAGGCTGCTTACTCCAGCTTAGGGTGCTGTGGTCTTGGAATTAGGGCTACTGTGAGAGTTGCGGGGGTTAGCGTGAATGGTCTCTACACAGGCAGTTTGTGCGTTTGGATTTCTGCTTGGCGTGTAGACTTTCAGCAGTCGAGGGAATGTTGAACTATCTGTTTGCTTTGGTCTAAAACCTCAGTGCTGGGTTTGGAGGTTTTGGGGCATCGAATTTCGATTGATCTTACATGACCTTTGTGGAATGAATTGCTGCCACCAGCTTTGAGGGAGAACCTGAGAGGAGAATCAACAGCTACAATGGCAATAGATCCGGAGAATAGTGGTGAAAATATCCGGAAGCGGTTTCTGGACTTCTTCGCAACCAGGGGCCACACGATTTTGCCGAGCTCTTCTCTCGTGCCTGAAGACCCTACTGTTTTGCTCACAATTGCTGGGATGCTCCAATTCAAACCCATCTTTCTCGGTCAGGTATTGTTACGGGACTTCACCTATGAGTTTCACGATCATAGTGGATGGGCTTGAGGATTTTTCCGCAGTGTTTTTATAAGGCTATGTTCGAAGTTGGATGAAACAGAGGTGGTTTAGAAAATGGCGTTGAAACATGTACAAAATCTGGAAAGTGGAAACACACTGTGGCCGGTTGCTGGTAACAAGAGAGGTGGTTATCACTGTGGATCTCCTAGAATGTGGAGAGCCGAGAGATTTGCTAATTTGTTTCTCGTACTCTACCTAATTCTATGCGTCTCGGCCATGTATAGAAAGCAAGAACCGTCCCACGTGCAACAACATCTCAAAAGTGTGTTCGCACGAATGATATAGAAAACGTGGGTGTCACAGCAAGACACCATACTTTCTTTGAAATGCTTGGTAATTTCAGCTTTGGTGACTACTTCAAGAAAGAAGCCATCAGATTCGCTTGGGAATTAGCCACTAAAGAGTGAGTGATTATCTTCTGCCTTTTGGTGTAGAAGAGTTCTAACACAGTCTTATGGGTGTATATAATGAACTGAACCGGCGTGCTTCAGCATTTACGATATCGCGATGCATTCTCGAATGCTCAGCCGAGCATTGATTTATTGTGTTGTGTACAAAGAACTAAAACTTTGATTTGATCTTTGGAAAGTTATTTGAGTTCACTGAGTTTAATCTGTTCCTAATTGCTCGTCAATCTGTCCGCAGGTACAAATTGCCAGAAGAGAGGGTATTTGTGAGTGTTTTCGAAGAAGACGACGAAGCTTTTGCTATATGGCGTGACGAGGTAATTTCCTTCATCAAGTGATTTGGAAAAGTGAGCTGAAGATGATACGGAAGGAGGCAGGATTTTGCAGCTTTCATCACCCAGGAACGATTTTTAACGATCTGTACATCGCAATTAAATTTAGCAGTTTCTTAGCTTGCAACTGGCACCTGAATTAAGCCAGCTTTCATTTTTGTGCAGATTGGAGTGCCAGTGGAGAGAATAAAACGTATGGGAGCCGAAGACAACTTCTGGGCCAGTGGACCGACTGGCCCTTGCGGCCCTTGTTCAGAAATGTACTACGACTTTCACCCCGAGAGAGGCCTGCAAGACGCGGTATGTCACACAGATTTTGTTACTCGCATTTCAGAGAAGTCGTCGGGTCAGTTTGGTCCATGAGCTAAATTTAAATGGTTTTTCTGTCAACTTATTGAGTGTCTGAGCAATCACTGCAAGGACTGGATGTTGTTTGCAAATTGCCACGGTTATGATTTGACCGTGTCCTCTCATTTTTTCGAGATACTTTGTCCTCTGCGGTCGAGTTTCTTTACCAATGTATTATTTGGCATTTTGCTTGGGAAGCAGGATCTCAACGATGATTCGAGATTCATTGAGTTCTACAATCTGGTCTTCATGCAAAGTAATCGCTTGGACGATGGCTCGTTGGTGCCATTACAAAACAAGAATATCGACACTGGACTTGGGCTTGAGCGCATGGCGCAGATTCTTCAAAAGGTAGGTCTCCGGTAGTGGCTCGAAAAGCTTCTGTGAGTTTTCACAAATATCTGTTGGAATAGAAAGGTTTGAGAGGGACTTTTTCCTAAATTGTTTTGTGGTGTCATTGTGAGCAGGTTCCAAACAACTATGAAACGGACCTTATTTACCCCATTATTAGCTTCGCAGCAGAGCTCGCCCAAATAGACTACATGAAAGCGGACGAGCGCACGAAGACCTACTTGAAGGTACCTCTTTGATTGCCAGGCAGATGTGAAGTATGCCTGAAATATTCGATTGGCGAGTTTACTGAGCAAAATATATGCCTTTGAAGTGTTGTTGTCGTGTACATTAACCGTATCTTCTTTTTTTTAAATACCTGAGTCCATCCTGTCTTGCTATAAACCATTCCTTTATTTGCCCGTAATGTACATTTCGTTTTATACTGGTCGTAACCATTTTCAGAATGCTTCAGGTCATCGGAGATCATACCCGAGCAGTCACGTATCTCATTTCTGACGGGGTTAATCCATCAAACATCGGAAGAGGCTACATAGTTCGACGACTGATCAGGAGAGTTGTCCGCATGGGTCGTCTTCTTGGAATCAAGGGTGATGGAAAAGGAGATCTGGAAGGAGCTTTTTTGCCACGTATTTCGGAAGTGGCTGTGAACATGAGTTCTGCGGTGGATCCTTTTGTCCAGCAGAACGCCTCAAGGATATATGAAGAGTTGTACAGAGAGGAGCAAAGATTCGTTCAAACCTTGGAAAGAGGGGAGAAGTTACTGGAGAAGCTTCTAACGGACGCTCTGTCCGGAAAAATTTCCAACGGAACAGAGGAACCTAAGCTTTCTGGAAAAGACATTTTCTTGCTGTATGATACTTTTGGTTTCCCAGTTGAAATTACGGAGGAGGTTGCCAGGGAGCGTGGAGTCGGAGTAGATATGGATGGTTTTGACAAGGAGATGGCAGTGCAAAAGTCGCAGTCGCAGTCTGCTCATAATGTCGTGAAGTTGACCGTGGGTGGAGCTGTGTCTGAGTTGTCATCGACAATCGCCAAGTCCAAGTTTATGGGCTATCATACTACTGAGGCGAAGGGACAAGTAGTGGCCCTGCTGACCAAAGGTGCCCCTCTTACAGAAGCTTCCGAGGGACAAGAAGTCGAATTGATTTTGGATGAAACACCATTCTACGCAGAGTCAGGTGGACAGATTGGTGATCATGGTACTATCAAAGGTCAAAGCGAAGACGGATCCGAGTTTGTTGTCAGAGTGACCGACGTGCAAAAGGCAGGACAAGGTCTTATTTTGCACAGAGGACAAGTTGAACAAGGCAAGATCACTTTAGGAGCGAAGGTGGAGGGTACCGTAGATTCTCAAAAACGACGCCGAGCAATGGTGCGTATCGTGTAATTTTCCACACGTTACTTTGTTGCGGATCTTTCAGAAGATGGAGACGTCTCTAGGTGTAAACTACAGGCCGAATTCACGTGTACTCTTAGACGTGCAAAACATAAGATAAGATGAATTCGGAGAAAGGAGAAGTCGTGTTGTACGAAGAAACAATAGATGAGGGTTATATACGATCCGGAAGTTTGATCTCTTCTGATGTGACATGGAGATACTCATTGGAGTAACTGCTCTTATCAGTACTTTCCTCACAGAGTCTGAAGATCTGAGTCCCTTGACCTGGCTATTTCGCCAATGCGACCCCGTCGCATTGGCGAAATTCTCACACAATTTTGCTATTTGTGTATGCAGGCACATCATACTGCAACTCACCTTCTCCAGTCTGCTTTGAAAAAAGTCCTTGGGGCCAGTGTATCCCAGGCAGGTTCCCTGGTTGCATTTGATCGCTTGCGCTTCGACTTCAATCTACCCAGAGCGATGACTGAGGAAGAAGTTGTGAATGTCGAGAATCTGGTAAATGGCTGGATAGGTGAGGCAGTTGATTTGGAGACAAAAGTCATGGCACTCACAGACGCCAAAAAGTCGGGTGCCATTGCTATGTTTGGAGAGAAATACGAGGATGAGGTATGTCGAAGATGATCTCCAGCCTAAATTGAGAACCTTCTGATAAGCTTTACAATTAGGCCGTAGAGGATCAAATCGCATACCTAATCTAGTCTTGTGTAAAAGAACTTCTGTCGTTCAGCTCTACGTTGAAAGTAGGATGTTGATTAACCGTTGTACTAGGCTCCTTCTACGTCTCATAGGCAGCCATCGAGCCGTAAGAAGATTCAAGTATAATTAGAGTGATTTGCTCCTTCAGGTAAGAGTCGTCAATGTGGAAGGAATCAGTAAGGAGTTGTGCGGAGGCACACATGTTAGGAACACCGCAGACATTCGGGGGATCAAAATCATGTCCGAGCAGGGCATAGCAGCTGGTGTGAGACGTATTGAAGCTGTCTGTGGAGCAGCCTTTATTGAGTACGTAAACCAGAGGGACAGTGTGGTCAAGCAACTGAACTCCTTACTGAAGGTACATCACACCGCATCTCTCATTTCTTTCTATGGCTGAACTCGAGGTCTCATCCATATTTCAGTTTGTCTACCTCACCAGTATGATAATCAAACTCTCTACTTACCCCGCAGGTGAAGCCAGAGGACCTCGCCACCAGAGTACAAGCTCTTCAAGATGAGCTCAAGTCTATGAACAAGGAGGCAGCATCATTACGCGCAGAGTTAGCAATCGCGAAGGCAGAGTCCTTTGCAAACAATGCCGAGGTGGTTGGTCCATCAAATGTCAGGTAACGAATTTTACTCCCGACAGATCATTCCCTTCACTACTATGCTTGCCTACGAACTGATGTAACTGAGCAGATTTGGTTTGTGATGCTCGTCCTTGACATGCCGATTGGATTACTCTGCAGGGTGTTAGTTACGTCACTGGGAACTGTAGATTCAGATGCCCTGAGAGTCGCTGCCGAGCACCTGGTGGCGAAAATGGGAGACCCCAGTGCCTTTGTCATAGCATCTACGTCCGCGGATGGGAAGGTGAATCTTGTTGCTGCTTTTAGCAAGTCAGTAGTGAAACAAGGACTCGCTGCGGGTAAATTTTTGGGTCCGATTGCCAAGCTGTGTGGTGGAGGTGGAGGCGGCAAACCGAACTTTGCACAAGCAGGCGGGAAATTGCCTGAGAAGCTCGAGGAAGCACTGAACAAGGCCAAAGTAGATTTGGTAGCAGCTTTGTCCAAGGCGTCATAGCTTTTACTTCAGGTTGTTAGTCGACTCACAGCCGTTATGTCCCTGTCTTTCACCAAATCTAGTCTCCGTTAAAATTGATTCATGGCTCGAAAAACCAATCATCCAAGTAGTGGATGTTTATCATGTATCCAGGCTTTACCATTAAAAGAAGGCCTTGTCATAATACAAAATCGTTGTACCTATTTTGGATTCACATGTAAACTCTGAACAGAAACTACCGTCCGACGTCGAACTGCAAGTCCGGTCCACCCTTTCCTGAATGGACATCGTAATATCAGAGATTGGTTTTATTGGACCACAAAAAATCTAAATTCCTTCCCTTTCAATCCAAGCTCTAGGTATTGCCTCAGTTGTATCTCACTATAGCCCGCGGCAAATTGGTTTTCCTTGAAATTAACAACGTGGCGATTGGACCCCATCAGCTCGTGCCACCTAACAAGGCACAGGGCACTGACTGCGCGCGAGTCACGTTCGTGTAGTCGAAAGTAATTCTTTTAGGAAATTGATTAAATTGTCACTTCCTGAATGGATGGACTGTTGCGACCACGCCGCTGTCTGTATGAAGTCACATACATGCGAGGAGACGATAAGAACATCTGCAATGCACTGTCGGCGCCAACTCTGGCGTATTTTACTTCTCACCTGCCATCTCTTTCTGATTTTGTGGCTTGATACTTTTTTTTTTCTGCTCGCGTCTCCCAACTAGTACTTCATGATCTTGCCAGGTATTATGTCTGTTGAAAAAAAAACTACTGATGCAGAAGCGTTCAAGGGTTTTCAATAGCATAAACCTGTTTCCCTGAAAGGTACTTAAAGTAGGACCGACTTCATTCAGCTGACAAAGAACTAGGCAAGATCTCAGAAAAGCTTATCACGCCAATCTGAGGGTAAATTGGAAAAACAAAATAGAACGATATCTAGATTCATTATTTTCCAATGCTTCTCGTTTTCATTTCTTGTTTCAACGTTTCAAGACAAATCAGCATGGAGAAGATTGCATACCGCACCGCTATTCACTTGGTCTCCATCTTATAATTGTTTGCAGATTTTGCTGATGTGGAAAGGGTAAGAGGTGAAACAATGAAATTTTTTTACTAGTTTGTTATTACTACAGCTAGTGTTGTACTTATGAACTTTAGAAATAAACAGTATTTTCAGATTGCATATCATCGTTCTGATCCAAAGCATGAGATATAGTATCTGAATAGTTTTGAGCTATCAGGGACAAAGCAAGAGACAAGTCTGCGGAAAAAGTTAACCAGAGATTGCGTTTTCAATCATGAGGCAAAGTGTTGATGCCCTTTCTTTTCTTTATTGATCATATGGAATTGCGATCTATCAATTACAGATCTTAACATAAAAACAAATTTTGTATTACGCTGATGACTGATTTGCAGTCCGTACGTTATGAAAACATTACTCTTGGCCTATTTGACATATTTTCATTTATAGTTTTGCCAAGATTCATATCACACTGAAAAAGAATTTCCATAAATATTAATGTCAATGATTTTCTGTCTTATATTCATTTATCGATATGACACTCAAACTGGAATATGGAGCCAAAATTGAGCGGAATATATCATCGAATATTCGCAAGGCGCATGTCATGAATTGCTCCAACTGATGGAAAAGAGAGGGCCAAAATCGGGGAATGCGGCGAATGGAGGGCCTGGGGGGCACGAACTACCGATCGATGGAAAACCCTACGGTAGATGAGGCTGTGCCGCGAATTGCAACCTCCCGGGACCTCTGCTTGCACAGCAATCGCCCGACACGATGCTGTTCTAGCCCATAGCATTCTCTCGACGAATTTCCGACGCATTCTATTTGAGCGCAGCGAGTGCGCGGGTTCTCGTCACCGAGATTTCGCTTGAAGTCGGATCCTTGCTTGTGAAAATGGGAGCCGCGGACGAAAATGTGTCTGCCGCTTCCCAAGGTGTTACGCAGGATTATGTTGTGAAGCAGCTGTTGGATGAGCAGCTGAATATCGCTGAGCGATGGCGGGCTTTGTTCTCGTTACGTAACATGAAAGGGGCAGTGCCGCGGGAGGCTCTTATTACAGGTAGCTGCAATTGTTTGTCTCCGAATTTTTGATTCGGAAAGAGAGATTCCACTTTGAATTCGTAGTTGCTGAGAGCTGATTTAAATCGATATCCAATTTTGATGTCTGGTGATTATTTGCACCTCCCTTCGTCTCTTTGTGATCGGCGCTACTACCCCGCGGTGGTAGTTTCGCGGTGCATTCGGCAGTAGTTTTTGGGTTTAGCGTGGGGTCAGAATCCCTTGGATGCTTTCATCCCTGATTGCAACAGGACGATGCTAATTCAATTTTTACATGAATCAGTGAAATTTTATTTTGTTATCCTTGCTCGTCTATGTCGAGAGAAGATTCACAAATGGAGGAGCAAGTCATGTGTCATGGCGAAGTTGTGTTTTGGAGATTTCTCAAGGTTTTGGCCAGTATCGTTTTGGATTTTGGGGTTTGGTGAACCTTCTAAGTTAGGTTCCGTCTGGGTGTTCTGCATGATGAATGGATGTAGCGATGAGAGATGCATCGAACTTGTTGGCACATGAGGCAGCGTTTGCTCTGGGCCAGATGCAGGATGCTGAAGCTATTCCAGCTTTAAAGGCGGTGCTCGAGGATGTGAATTCTTGCGCTTCTATCGTCCGGCACGAGGTATATGTCTTCCTATTCGCCTATACGTGCATTCATCTCCCCTTCTGTCATTCACGCACATTTTAGTATTTTGTTAACCACATTCGCACTGACCTTTTCGAGGATCTGCTGTTACAATAACGTCAATTGATCCCCGAAGTCCGTTTGGTCAGGGATATAGAAGTCGCCATCTATAATAGGTCATTCCATTCTGGTTATGAACAATTCTTATCTTCACTGTACTGTACTTTTGAAGTTCCTGACTTTCCATCCTTGAGCTTGTTTTAAATCAGGCAGCAGAAGCTCTAGGGGCGATTGGTGCACCGGAAGGTATAGCTCTTTTGAGGAAAGCTCTCGTTTCTGACCCTGCTCCTGAAGTTCGAGAGACGTGTGAACTAGCTCTCCGGAGAATCGAACAGGGCGTCACATCTACGGCGGGTGAAGTTGAAGACGTAGATGAGTCACCCTTTTTGTCAGTTGATCCAGCAGCAGCAGCACCTAGTAACTCGAGCATTGCAGATTTAAGGTTTTTCCGACTCTGAATTCTATCCTCCTTGTTTCCCTTTCTATGGACAACAGTACTCCATTATATTCATATTTTTCCGACATTCTGATGCTTATTTCTTCAGTAAAGTGATAAATCACCTTGATCTCGATAAAGGCTCTCGATATCGTTTATGAAAGCACTGTCGTCCTTCCAGCAGGAGTCCTTTTCTAGTTGCTTGATCTTTTCTTTCTCCTTTCATAAGTTTAATGCTGGAGTACATGAACGTTGTTGCCTGGATCGTGAAGGAAGATATTGCTCGACGAGCAGCAGGGAATGTATGAGCGATATGGTGCTATGTTCGCACTTCGGAATAGGGGCGGAGCTGAAGCTGTAGATTCAATCGTGGCAGCTTTGGGCTGTCAGAGTGCTCTTCTTCGGCATGAGGTATTGAAATGTGGTTGCAGACCTTGATCGCAATCTTTGGAATTTCGTTTCATGACTTGAGTTGGTAGTACGGAGGTACCTTTTTTCTCTTGAACGCGGAAGCCGGTGAATGATTGAATGCAATTGAAGGATTGTAGGATCCCGATTGGATACGGCTAATCCGTCCTACTAAGTGTAGTGACATCTTGCACAATGTGCCTTGTAGGTTGCATATGTTTTAGGGCAACTGCAAGATAAGTCTTCAACAGACGCTCTCATGAAAACTCTGAGAGATAGTTCTGAACATCCTATGGTCAGACACGAAGCTGCAGAAGCCCTCGGATCAATAGGAGGTAAAGTAATTGCATCGTAATGTACCTTGTCTTTGTAAATTTTTAATTGCCGGTGTGCACGGCAGATCCATGTTACCAGGCGCCTAGATCTCCTGACATGAACGTAGGAAGTCAAGTTCCTTCGCTCTTTTGCTTAACTCACCAACCACGTGAATAGTAACACTACAATTGTTACTGCAGATGCCGAGAGTGTTGCTTTGTTAAAACGCTATCGTGAAGACTCAGAACCATTAGTCTCTCAAAGCTGCGAGGTGGCCCTGAATGTTCTGGAGCATGAGCTTGAAGGAAAGTCACTTGAGGTACGTTGCTAAAATGTAATGCTGACTAGGGTGATATATCTCAGTGCATGAACGATGGTTGTGATTTGTAAATATAGAGACTTTCACGCTGGATGTTCAAGTGTTCGGGAGAGGCCTGTCTTTGACAAGAAACCTAATTCTCGTCGAATTCAATGTGCAGTTTCTGTATCTTGAATCTACTGCGGCATAATGAAGTGGAATTTGTATGAGTTCGTCCTGCAAACTTTGGGGTGACCATCATGGTTGTGAAATGCACTTCACAACCATACTCATAGCATGAAATATTCGTTCCTGTCCTAAGGTGTTACATGATAGCTTCAATTTTAGTCGTCCGCTGATCATGAAGGGACTCGAAGCTAGACCAGTGAACCTTTTTTGTACTAGAAATTGGGGAATTATCAGTTGTCATTGTTCATATGAAAAAACATACCACCTACAGTGCTGGTCAGCTCCTCTTCAGGTTTCCAATTTTCTCGTGTGGCTCTCATCTGGTATAGAAGTTAAGCGCCATATAAGATGCTTCAGAGCTCCATGTACCTTGTATTGTTGTTGGCCCATGACGGAACGAATTCGCAGAGATCGTTTGGCATGCAGACCTAATTCGTACATGCTTCAAAAGCTTTTACATGTTCCTCGTGTCGACTTGTATTGGGTATGTGTAATTCCGTGCGGTACGTCTGGAAGATGACGATTAACGGACGTCTATCTCTTGACCTGGTGGAAGCCAGACGAGATCATTCATTTCACCTCCTTGGCACTTATTACATGATTTGAGTTCCAAAGTTGGTCAATGAAGCTCCTTCCCATTTGACTGGTTGTGCACTCCCCGGTGAATTCATCGAAGGTTAACAGACATATTGACCATCTTCATTCGTGCCACGATCCTACTTCTCATCAAATTCAGCCAATGAAATGTTCAATGCCCACGGTGACCTCATGATCACAACTCTGGTCCGGAGAATGGCCGCAATGCCTCTGGCCGAGAAGAACAGATGTCACCGACGGAGTACCATTCGTCGGCGATTTCCACTAACACTGCAACATCATTAGTCTCTGGTTTGTATCGGATATCCGAAGCATTCGCCTCCTCCTCCTCCTTCAGCTCCCGATGTCGGCCCAGATCTTAAACCTTTTTGCCCGTAGTACGTGGTCCAATTGTCCGTTTCCTCGTCCAACTGCTCGTGTCGGCCCAGAGCTTCGATTGCTCCCCTCTGATCCTGAAAGTGCAGTCATCTCTGCTCGGCGGGAGACGCCACAGCCTTTCTGCCTGAAATCTCATCAATGAGTAGAAGAGGCGGGCCCCATGTGTCCGTCAGCGAATGAAGGAGGTTCGGAGACGAGCATTGTGTCGAAGACAGGAGCAAAATTCGGTGCACAGCAGAATAAATCGGGGCCCCCCGGGCTGCGGCTACTGACCAAATAATGTCGCGTCGCGAGATCCCACCGAGCGAACGACGCGACGGGCCGACGGAAACGCCAATGCAGCCGTCGCGTCGCCACAAGTCTTACGACTCGGACGCATCATCCAGTCAAAGGCTGTAGGAGCGCTTCTGGGCATGACTCGTGTGCTTGCGGTAGCTTGAGCGGCACGTGGCGGTCGGAGGACTGCCTGCTGGGGCGGGAGACCCGGAAAGGGCCCCGGGCATATTCCGGGCCACCGTCGGCGGCCGGGCCCCACGCGCGGCTGCAGCCCATTCCATCGTCGCCCTCGGCCGCGAATAGCAACCGGCGATTGCGAAAGCAGAAGAACCAGCACCAGGCATGACACAATGGCAAAGTGGTCGGTGGGGCTCCGAGCTCCGAGCTCCGATCTCTTTTCGAGATTTTTCATGAGTGGCGTGGTGTTCCTCTCAGCGAGCGACCGAGGCACTTATGGTTTTAATCGTCGGTTCTTTACCTGGTGAGCGCAGAGCTACGTGGTTAGTCTTCTGCAGTTTATGTTAATTATCTGAACCCCGACTGCGAACTGCAGTGCAACGAGGGTAAAGATTCGAGGAATGTGACCCATGTGAGTCCCGTGGGAGTGACCCGGTGCGTCATTCTTCAACGGAGCAGGGAGCCATGGCATCCATCTTGTCTATGGATCTGTGTACGGGACATGCTGCACTTCTCGGTCTAAAAAGTGGCTGTCGTCGTGCAGCCTTTTTAGACCCAAGAGCCGCTTTGTGCCAGATGACCCGTCGCGCATCGTTATTTTATCAGCAGCAGCATCCGTCTCCCGTGGCTTCCAAAATCTCGACGATCGTCCAAAACAGCATCCGAGTCTCGTCATCAGTTTCTACGCAGGCAGGAGCCGTCCGTTTGTGCCACCAAGCAAAGTACCCACATTTCCAGAGCAGGACGAACAAGCTCGAACGCATCTAACGATTGCCGCAGTGTTGGGTCCTAGATTACGTACTTCGGAATTCAGAACATGGCTGTAATAAATTACCGTCATACTTTACGGAATTTGAGTTAAGGGTCCAGAAACGACATTCGTGACGTGCTCTGGATAATTCATCATTCTGTAATATTGTACATAATGTGCGGCCAATTTGAACTTCAGTGCTGTGGTCGCGGGTTGAATACAAGACCTCGAATATATATGAGAAAAGCTTCAGACTCTTGTGTAACACTATGAAAGCTGAAATTCATATGATTTTGACAAATTTTTATTTCTTTCCAAAACAAGTTGAACTTCTCCGCCCTAAAGTCACCGTTAGGGAAACATAAGGTCTTGAAGTTGTGGGTGCAATTCTATGTAAACTGCAAGTTACGCATTTCACATATATTAAAGCCCCAATCGAAAGAAATATACATCTTGAATGTCTCTTCCGGCTGCGCTTCGTTCCAAATTAAAAATAGTGAAAGCGCCATCTCTTGCTGTGCAACTCAAAAGTTCCCGGAAACGAATGCCATGCTCTGAATTCGTGATCCCTTCCATTGAACCTCAGGTTTTGGTGTTGCATATTAAGTGGCTTTTATAAATATAATTTTTGGACATTGCCTCTTGAAGTTCTAGCTCTATTCACATCAACCATGTAATCCAACCAACTGTCTCTCATGGTTGATCTGGTTCATTTCGAGCCACTTCATAAGAACAGGAAAGGGAAAGGTGCTCATGACGAGTTTCATCAAAACAATCGTAGTGAGAATTCATTTTTGCACGACAATTTTAACACAACTTTTGTTTTTATTAAATATAGAATTTGTCATGTAGAGATGTTGATTATAATATGAAGTGTTTGAAATAATGTCCACAATGAACTCCGACTGACTTAATATCAACATCCCTGATTGTACTTGTTATTCAATCCAGAATATGTACAAGAGCATGCGGTGATCTGAAGAAAAGACCGAATTCTGATTAGTCCGGAGTCCAAAGCTTCTGAGTGAGCTGCAGCATTCCATTCAATGAACCTCAGCAGTAGAACAGAATAGAAACAAGGCGGGGCTGGTATTGGCCCAGAGGCAACGAAGGTCGAGGGCCGACATGCTCTCGAGGTGCAACTTGCCGCGCGTTGCTTACTCACTCACTCACTCACTCACGCACGCACACAATGCGAAGGTGGTTGGATTTCGGGTACATTCAGAGTGCAAGTGGAAGGAGCCATGTCCTAAGCCGAACATGCGAAGAAGACCCGGCGGGCATCGACCGCATTTAGCTGGCGCGGGGGCGAATGGGTGGCGCTCGTTGGCCCCCGGTGCGTCAGTGAGAATCCGTGAAGGTACAATTGGAAGTGGCAGAGGGAGGGAGAGGGAGGGAGATCGATTCTGTTGCACCTCTGGAGGAAGAGTTTGTCTGACGCAGGAGTGGCGCAGGAGGCAGGTATGGGAGTTCGACGAGCGAATCTGACGGGAAAGCGGAGCGCAGGTGGGCCCGGGAATTCGCGGACGAGGAGCGACGAGAAGATCTCCATGCTCCAATTGTCCGGGAGGAGGGCGCCCCTTGGGCACTGGGGCAGCGATCGCAGAGTCGCAGGCCATGCATGGAGCTATTGCGCTTCGGTCTCGGCCCGCGCATGGATAGTGCGGGCCTCTAGTATATAGCGCCGCTGCAGGAAATCTGTTCGGCACGGCGAGCGATCTGCTGCTCACCGCATTCTGCTGCACCGCTCCGCCCCCGCCCCCGCCCCGTCCCGTCGCAGTTGTTGTGCTCTGGCTCGATCGCAGCCCGAGCTCCGAGCTGCTCCTGCTGCCTTGGGCCAAAAGTCGAGGGCCGGAGCGCGTTCTGTTCTGTTGTGTTCGGTTAGGGAGGCAGCGGCGCCTCGCGTTCGAATTGTGGTCTCGGAGATTTTGCTCTGTTCTGGGCGCCAGTGGCGGGTTCTTCCTTTCGCAGCGGCGGCAGGCGACGACCATGGCTCTGTCCGTGGGCGGCCAAGTCGCGGTCTCGGGATTGCCGAAGAATGGAGCTTTCGTCGAGGCAAGACGTGCCTCGACCTCTGCGGAGATTTCGAGTGCCAAAATGGGGCGAGGCTTCGCTGCATTTCAAGGCTTGAAGGCGTCCGAGTCTTGTGCCTTCGACAAGCCCAATGCGCCGTCGGTTCGAGCTCTGATGCCCAAGCAGATGCGATCGCAGCCCCCGCGAGTCGTGCAGGGACTCGTGGTCGTTGCTTCTGGAGGAATGAACATCGTGTTTGTGTCCTCCGAAGTCGCACCGTGGAGCAAAACCGGAGGTCTCGGTGATGTTCTCGGAGGCCTCCCTCCTGCCCTTGCGGTAAAGCTTTCCATCCTCCCTCTCTCTTCGTCGGCCTTGCTGCAGTTCCTGCATGCAAGCCGTGACTCTCTTTCTGTGCTTATTGACGACATTAGCATGTCCAATTATCAGACTCAATCCATGCAGCTGTGCCTTTCTATTGCCCTCTCCTGTTGTTTCTCCACCCATTTTCTCTAGCATTTGCTTGAAGTGTACGCACGGTGCATCCAGTGCATCAAATACAGTAGCTAAAGTATTCTGAGCTTCGTTTGATAGCATGCAAAGCACTGTCACCCTGCCATCGTCATCCCCGTTGTGCAGCACTTGGGCGTATTATCCGGGTGCCACATTTTCGTGGGGAATTGTGAATGTCCACGCTATGACGCCGTGTAGTTCAGGTGGTTACGTGATGTATCGGTGTTGTTATCTATTATAACGGAATTAAAAAGCGCTTCCGCTTGCGATACTCTCGCATTTGAGCAGTTGATCGCATCAGTGGATTTTGTACCCGGAGTCGAGGAACCCCAACGTGGTTCCGACGAATATTGCGATTCTGGCGCCTTTGTTCGGAAGCTTAGCAGTGTCTAAATCTCCCTGTGTGGGCAATTGCAGGCTCGAGGACATCGCGTCATGACTGTGTCGCCGCGTTATGATCAGTACAAGGATGCCTGGGACACAGACACCACTGTCGAGGTTGGTGTGAGAGGAAATTGTCATTTCTCTGTCTCTGTCGTTTCTTCACAAACACGTAGCAACGGGTGGGGACTGGATCAGCGTATTCTTCGAATGCTTGTTTGACTATAGGATTTTTTCCTCTATGATGCAGGTCAAGATCGGCGACACCACGGAGACGGTGCGATTGTTCCACACTTTCAAACGCGGAGTGGATCGTGTTTTTATAGATCATCCCATCTTTTTAGCTAAGGTATGTCCTTTAGATCATAAGAGCATTTGTCAAAAGCAGTGTGTCTGTCAATATGCATGTGTTGTTTTAATCTAATCGTTTTTTTTCTTCCAAATGTAGGTTTGGGGGAAAACAGGGGGCAAGATCTACGGTCCTGTCACTGGAGTTGACTACCAAGACAACCAGCTCAGATTCAGTCTCTTTGCACAGGTGTCATCACGCTGCTTAATTAGAATGTTTGACAGCCTCATTCTGCGCTTCATGAATTTGAGTTTTCAATATATTTCAAAGCCACTTGGTTAAGAATCGCCATATCTTCAGTCATGCATGTAATGTGTCATATATTCAACAGTTTTATATTATCGTGAGGGATGTTGCTAAATCTCATTTTGTACAACCTGTGTATATGCAGGCAGCTATTGAAGCAGTTCGCGTATTGAACTTAACGAGTAACGAGTTCTTCAGTGGGCCATATGGTACACATTATGAATCTGTACACGTCAAAGTTGATCTTGTTTTCATTACCGAAGATCAGATAGATTCGCAGTTCAAAGTCCATCGGATTCAGGCTATTTTACGGGATCTGTCAATTCACAAAATACTCACAGATCAGAGAAATGTAAAAGAAGAGTCATTATGCTCGCTATTTAAACGATGGCACGGTATCAGTATCATGACGGAATTGTCTTTATCTCATTAGAACAGGCCATGCAGTACCACGTGTGTGAATCTAATTTTCTCTTGTTATCTCACTTTCCAGGAGAGGATGTTATTTTCGTTGCGAACGATTGGCACACAGCCCTCCTTCCTTGCTACTTAAAAGCATATTACAAGTCGAAGGGGCAATTTTTGAACTCCAAGGTATTTTGCATTCTCCTACAGTAGATTCTAACCACTTACAGAGACGTTCCACTCATTACACCAATCATGCTGTTTAGACATGTGGAATAGGAAGTCTTCGTTATTGCCTTTTAACCTACTTGTCTTCCTTGATCCTTTGCAGGTGGCATTTTGTGTCCACAACATCGCATATCAGGGAAGGTTTGCGTTTGCAGACTTCCCTCTTCTGAATCTCCCTGATTCTTTTCAGAGTTCTTTCGCGTTCATGGATGGGTAAGTACATAACTTGATCAAGTGTTTCACAATTTTAAGGGATCGTCGAAGGGAGATTCGTCTAAGTCATTGGTACTTCAGATTATAGTATAGTGGACTCCGTTGTTCTAGAAAGCAACTGATGCAATATCAGTGAAAGCGCCCCTTGTCATCTTGCTCTTTTGTGAAAACATCCGAAGGCTGTCCGAAATTCATTTCTACATGCAAGGGATGGGTGCTCTTCTGTGTCTTTTCCAGGTTGTTTGATCTGCTAAACGATTATCATAGTTACATGTAAGTTCCAGTATACTTAATGTCAAACGTAATTTGCAATCGCAGGTATGACAAACCCGTGAAAGGGCTGAAGTGCAACTGGATGAAAGCTGGATTCCTTGAATCAGATATCTTGTTGACTGTTAGTCCAAATTACGCCCAGGAGTTGAAAGAAGGACCAGACAAGGGTGTAGAGCTGGATGGTGTGGTTCAAAAGAAGGGAATCAGGGGAATTACAAACGGAATGGATGTACAAGAGTGGAATCCAGCAACTGACAAGTATTTAGATATCAATTACGATGCCACAAATGTATAAATTCATTCACTCTGATCGGACTCTGTTGGAATTTGTTTTTGGCACATGGATTCCATCTTCCAAACGGATAACCGTCCCTTCCGTTAGGTTATTGATTCCCACGTAGCTTGTCATCCGGTATGTTTACAGCATATGAGAACCAAATTTATGACTTTGACAAATTGTGTTTCCTTCCCGCAATCACAGGTTTTGGAAGTCAAACCAAGTTTGAAAGAGGCTTTGCAAGCAGAAGTCGGCCTGCCAATCAATCCTGATGTACCTCTGATTGGGTTCATCGGGAGGCTCGAGGAGCAAAAGGGTTCAGATATTTTGGTGGAAGCTGCTGCTGAGTTTCTCGGCGACGATGTGCAATTAGTTGTCTTGGTTAGTATGAGTAATCAAGTGGTTTATCTGCGATTCGTTGTCTTGGTTCGGTTTCGTAGTTTAGCGGTTTCGGTTAGCTGCATAGAAGCATGACTAACATGTTTTTTTGAAAACACTTTCCTCGTTTCAGGGTACAGGGAAGAAGATTTTGGAAAAACAGTTAGAAACTCTTGAGACTCAATTTCCCGACAAGATGAGGGCTGTCGCAAAGTTCAACGTGCCTTTGGCACACATGATAACAGCGGGAGCTGATTTCATATTGGTTCCTAGTAGATTTGAACCTTGTGGCCTAATCCAACTCCACGCAATGAGATACGGAACGGTATATCGCTGCACTGACTTGGGTGGAGTAGATTAATTTCGTCTAGAATGGAAGTATTTGGCTTCGTGCAAATGGTTTAGGATCTGTGATGACTTTTATTCATTCTGCTTTTGCTGAAGTTCTGGAACATGGTACAAGCAAATATTTATTCAATGAAAAATTATGGCGGTAAATACTTAATTCTTATCTCACATTGTCTGGAAAGACTACAAGCATTTAGAAATAAGTAAGTTATGTACATGGAAATATGAAGGATGTTCCGAATTCAGTATTTTATCACAAAGAAATTTACTGAGGCCTATATTGTGAGGACTGCAACGTACTCTACTCACCGAGGTACATTGTCCATATCTTTAATACTTTTCGGTTCCTCCCTGCAGCCACCAATAGTTGCATCTACAGGAGGATTGGTGGACACCGTGAAGGACGGTGAAACTGGATATCACACAGGTGCTGCTTTCAATGTCGAAGTAAGTCTACTCTGCCTAACGATCAAGTTTACAGTAGTCTGTGCTCTAAAGATGTTAACAAATGTGAGCAAATTTTGAAAGTGGCGGAAATGTTTGATGCACGCCTAAATTTTTGAGTGGGAGTAGTTCTTTCTGTATATTTCGATTTGTCATTTATGAGAGATAGTATGCCGAGATTGAGGTTGACGAACATGTTAACCTGACCAGTGGCCACCCTTTGCACCTACCGGATGCAGTGTGAGACTGTAGACCCAGCAGATGTTGCTCTGTTGGCGAAGACCGTCAAGAAGGCGATAGAAGAATACGGCTCACCGAAGTATATTAGCATGATCAAGAATGGGATGGGTCAAGACCTCTCTTGGAAGGTACCAAAAAAACTGAACCCAGTCCCCGTTGCTTAGAGTATTAATTATATGTAGGCCTTTGTTATGTTCTTTATCTGTCAAGTTTTGATCGAGAAATTTTTGAATTTTTTTTTCTAGTCACGCAACACATGTTCAAGCATAAGGTGATTGTGTGTGTCCTGACTATTACGTGTATTGATTTACAGGGTCCTGCGAGAATCTGGGAAGATGTTCTGCTCAGCCTAAACGTGGAGGGAACATATCCTGGTGAGGAAGGAGACGAAATCGCTCCTCTGGCCAAGGCAAACGTTGCCACACCATGACAATGTGTCTGCTCTGAATTTGTTGTCAAAACTAGTGAGGCTTCGCTAGTTTCTACTAGAAGCAGGGAGAGCGCAATTAGAACATTTATAGCTGAACTGTTTTCAATTTGATGATACGACGTGTTTCACAGAGAGTGGCATGTCAGTATTTGTCGACTTCTTTTAGCTAGACATGCATCAAGAGGTTGTAGTCGTGAACCCTCACGGAAGTGGTGCATTACTCCCTTGCATGACCAGACCTGTATTTTTATCTAGTCGGATTGTACGCATCGAGATTTTGTTCAAAGCCGAAGGTGGGTAAATTCTTGTTGCTTGTAAAGATTAGAGACTGAGGCTGTCCATGCCAAGCAGTAGTGGGTAGATAGATAGGATGTTACTACCATCATAGTTCTAGGTGGTTGTGTCTCAGAAACAACCAGATTTTTCAGGACTACTTTGCCTGCAAGACAGAAAGCATGGATCTTTTATTCATGCATAATCACAATAGAGAAGTGCTGAGTGGCATGAATACTCTCACAATGCGAGTTTTACACTGAGTATTGGAATTCGTGGATCAGATTTTATGTTGAATGCATTCAGGTGAAACTTCAGAGGATGTCTTAGAGGAGTTTCATAGCTACTTTGATTTGATCTAAAGCAGACATGTACCAAACTCAAAGGCCAAAAGTGCCCACCTGCGATCTGCATGAGTTGATAACGAATTTCGTGCAACAGAAAACTTCACCCCGTTCGGCCACTCTGTCGCATTACTCTTTTTTAGATTAGCGTGTCAGAGTGAAATTATTTTACATTTTATTTTATGAAGTGTAAAACAGGTATTGTTAACCTATTACATTTTCCTTCTGAAGGTGAAGTTTGTTGCAAATGTGGCTTATGTATGGTTCACATTCGACAAAAAAAATAGTGTTAACCATGACAAAATATACGCAAAGTTGTATATAATGTCCCAGAAATAAAAAATTAATACACAATATGAACAATGTAGTAACGTGAAATTGAATGTATCTGATTACATTATTCTAAAACTACAAATTACAAAAAATTGTAGTTATGCAAAATCATCAAAATCAAAAATTATCAATATAAAATCAACATATATATTAAAAATTAAATCAACGTTGTGATCAATATAACCAACTCATAGTACATTTTTTTTACTTTTATACAATGCAAAATTCTTATCTTCATGATGTATTGGATTTTCATGATGTAGTGATAAAAAATTAAAAGTATAGCATACACTTCATTTTTATGAAATACAAGATTTATCAAAAAAATCAATCACAGTTTATAATCTTGATAGATTTAAATCTAAAATGTAATCTAATACCACATTATATTAAAATTTATGAACTAGTTTAATATTTATGAATAAATTGATAGGTGCATTATTTCTTTTCAAATTATTTTTCTTTCATTGATATATGATTGTGGAATAAAGTCTCTCATTCTTGACAAGATATTAAATTATCTTAAACCAAAGATTGATGTTGTTGTCAATAAATTTGATGTTTTAACACATGAGATCAACTACAATAAAATTCATCAAAAAATCGCTCATCTAAACAAAGTGAAAAAAAACTTCACAAATTTTTTTTAAAAATTATATGAAACATATCAGATAACCATCATTCTCCATAATTATTAAAAATATTAGCATTTATTGTGCCTATAGTATGACTTTATGTTAATTCACATTTTTGTTCAGAGTAAAATGATTAAATTTTAGACTGATTTGAAAATAATATAATTATTTTATAAGCATGGTAATGATTAAAATTACATGTTCATTTGTTACCACATGTTGAAATTTCAAAGAATTTTACTAACTATCAAGTCATATTTCAAATAAGAATAGTATTTCACATTTCATTACAAGCTATTATGTACATACATTTTAACCTCTTTATATAAAAAGCTTTTAAATTTCTTCGTAAAATCTATGTACATTCATCTCTTCGTTTAATTTTGAAAAAATGATTATTGATATTTTTGATTAAAATTAAAATTAAATTAAAATTTTTAAAATTTTATCAATCATTTCATATGAGTTACTAATACCTTATAATAATGAATATTCATATTAGAATACTTGATTTGATACCAATCATTCACAAATTTTGCAAAATTTTTACAAAAATCAATCAATGTAAATCACAATATTTATAGAAGTAAAAATTTTTGTTCAATACATAATAGACATCTTCATTATTTTTCATTTTCATCTATCCTCAATTAATTCATTTAAAATTATAATTTGTGATGAAAAAAAATATTCACTCTTATTGCAATAATCTTCACATTTTTAAAACTTGTAAGTTTTGCCATAATACAAACGTAAATATAAGTTTATGACTATATTAAGTTGATGTTAAAAAATTGATATTTTTTAAAGTTAAAAAAACAAAAATGTCTGTTTTCAAAGGTAAAAATATACAAATATAGTGACTAGTCGTAACAAATGATATATGCATTCTAGATACTATATGATAAGTTTTCATAGAAGAATAATTCACACGTCATCATGTATAATTTTTCTTAAAAAAATATTACTTACAATCTTACATGAAAACAGTTGATATTTAGCTTTTACATAATGCAATGACCACAAAATTTCAAATTGATAATAGCTAAATATGATACAAGATCTTCTTGCATAATAAAATAAATTACATGCCGTTCACTGATTTTATTTCATAATGATAAATTTAAGATAGATAATTTGACCTTTTTTTTATAGTTTTAATTGATCACAATACTTTATGTTGATAATATTTTTAACTTGAAATTCCTTGACATAAAATTACCTCATATATTGTGTTCTTGAGTGTGATCTCAATCTTTTAAGTTGGAAGTTATTTTCAACTTAAGTGTGTTTTAAATTCAAATTATTATCTTTTATAAATTAAATGAAAGAAAACCTTTTTTTGGAATTTTAAATTTTTATTTTGGATTTTTTATTTGAATTGAGTTTACGTATTGTCATTGAAAAGTAATAAACAAATTTTTTTATATTTGAAAAAATGAATCTTACTTTATATTTTAATGTTTATTCACTTCTGTGAGTGATATTTTTTATGTATCATTGTCAAAACTTAATCTAATAAAAAAAATTTTATAAAAAAAATTATATATAAATTAAAAATATACATTTTATTTCTTTAAAAATTATTGTTACATAATTGTGTTGATGTTAACTCCTATTAAGGAGTAATGTCAAGTCCTAACTATATTTAGCTAGTACGGTCGTCTACACTAGGTAAAAGGTTCGGCTACTGCTGTATATGGTGTAAGTCTTGTGAGTAAAAGTGTAGCGTGTTATGGGTGGATGAAGCTCGTTCAAGGGATGAACCACGCTACATATTGTCTTGTGTATTTCTTGTTACTTGTGTGTTTTGACGTTACAATTGATATTAGAGCCGGTTTTTGGTTCTGATTTGTAGTCAGTAAATTGCTTAAGCTTGTGTTTGCTCACGGTTTTTCAACGACAGTTTTCGCTAACGGTTTTTCTCACTGACAGTTTTGATGACGGTTTCTTTAGTGACATGTTACACTTGTTCAAAGAAAAGTTTCGCTTTGTTCATAGAGAGGTTCTGCTGAAGACATAGTTTTTTTGAGACAATTGAATGATGATTCTTTTAAAGGTTTTGCGACGAGAAATTTGAACAGTGATGGCTAACCTAATTTGGTTTTCTCCGCTCAGAAGAAAGCTAACTTGATTTGATTGTGACAGAAGTTTTCAGGCTCGTACGACTGAACCAAAAGAATTTATTCATAGAGAGATTTTTCACGAAGTGATAGGTAGAGAAATTTCGTGGAGCTGCAGAAGTTCGAGATTGAATGTGGGGACAATCGAATGAATCGTACTCAGCAGGCAAGAGTTACTCTCGCTCCAAAGAAAATAGATTCCCCGAGATGTGATCCTTGTTTGCTCATCGTTGGACCGTCGGTCGAGGAGTATGAACCCTCGCCAACGCTTTCTAGCAGCGAGTTAGATGTCGATGGACAACCCACACCACAAAAACTAGAGTTGATTCGATCAGAACCTAGGCGCCCGTATGGGCATGATGCTCCGTGTTGGAAATGTCAATTCAAGCTCTCGGAGCCATGGATCGGATCGGAGCATCAGGAATCCGAGACGAGCTTACATGCCGAGAAAATGCGCCAAGCGCGGCGTGGATCATGATCATAATGGAGGAAGAATGACTCGACAACATCAAGTTTGCACCTCTAGCGGCTTTCTACTTCGGGCAATTGTGATCCCGGATGGATGAATTTGGAAAGAACGTACGATCGGCGGATGGAAGGCCTGACTGACAAGAAAATCCTGGAGCTTATGACCTGGAGGAGTGATTCAGCATGAGTGTCATCGTCCAATTCTTGTTCTCAAGTTTGAAGCTCGATCCCGCCGGGGCTGTAGCTGTCCATTGTCTTAAAGCATCTATGCAAGAACACATGATCGTGATCGTGTTCGATTAGCTTGCTTATAGACTAGAGTTCTACAAAACGAGATCTTGAAATACTTCCTGTTTACGGACCCGATCATGTCGTGGAGCCGTCGAGATTAACGTTGCAGGAATTTGGTCCTAGTTTTTTCATGAAGAAACAAATGAAAGAGATTTGTGAGCTGATGTTGGAGTTTCCTTGATTGTTGGAAGGGCTACTAGGCTTGTTGTTCAAAGCGGAGATGTACCATGTGCAAGAAGGCGGAAAATTTGCTTTGATGAACATCGTCGGAGGGGGAGGTTTGCTATATCAGAGAACGATCTGTCCGCATTTGAGAGATCTTGAGGATATGATGACTGATGAAGCTTAAAACCTTGGTTGTTAGTTTGCCTTTCACTATCAAGAAATTGCACATACCTGAGCAAGTTTTGATCGTTGAGCAGATGCACATGATCTTCGCTACATGGCTCCAAGCCTAGTGATAGGCGGAGAAGAGATTCTAATGTCGGGGCCTAGCCGGTGGCGGAGAGGAGGCCATGCTGACATGATTATTTCATCTTATTGCCGTAGCAATTGATCTTTGATTCTTCCCTTTCTTCTCAATCTCATAAAGTACATTGGGCGGAACGAACAAATGTGTTTGACTCGAGAGGGACGGGCAGATAGCGGCGAGGCGCACAGCAAGACATCACGAACATATTCCTCAAGAAGATACAGCTTGAGGTTGAACATACAAAGGCTTGAGCGATGACTGAGAGGAGGCCGAAGCGGCCAAGCTGCGAGCTTCTAACCGTCGAGGCCGAATGGTGGTTAGAGTAGGGCCAAGGCTTGTGATCCGGAATGGCCGTTCAACCCTCAACGTGATTTGCCCCTAGATAGGTGGTGAAAAAAATGCGCTCTGCAATCTCCGGGTTGACTCTCACTCAGGTTTACCGCATATGGCTTTTCGGTACCTCGTCATGATTCTAGAAGACCAAGATTCCTCCTCATACTCATAGCCCAAACACCCTCTCACACATTCTCTTAAGGTACCACTCCAACTCACACACATCGACACTCCAAGGTACTGAAAATTTGTC